ATCAAGCACCACACGGAGCCGTGCAAGGCCAGGTTGTTGGGGAATTTCTTCAAGGCAAATGCAGCAACAACGCAGTTAAGGATCCCAAATCCGCCGCCGGCTACTGCAACCAGCGTAGATTCCAGAGGCGTGACACCTAGTGAGGTAACGAGTAGGTTCTTTTGTCCATACGTGAGATTGTTGCAGTACATCAAAGTGAATGCTTGCAGGGTAAAAAGCCACGTAACAGGATCCCTAAGGGCTTCGATGACCTGGGAACGTTTGAACTGCTTCTGTTCGATGGAGCTTTGTTGCGACTCGTGGACACGGCGAATGACATGCACCTTCTCCTCAAGTGTCAAGAATCGAGCCTCTGCCGGGTTGCTCGGGTACTCAATCCAGACCCAAACGGCAAGGAGCAGAGTGATACCGCCAGTAACGATGTGCAGAAGCTTCCATGGTAGTACCGGTCCGCTCGACCACAATAGCCCATAGGCGATGAATCCGGCCACAATAGGTGCTCCTTGACACGTAATCCACAGAATAGGCTGCAGAAAAGATTGTTCTTGTCGGTTGAAGAACATGCCGAGAGTGACTTCAATAGCGGGTACAATGACAGCCTCGGAAGCTCCAAGGGCAAGCCGAACGACAATCAATCCCGCGTATTTAGTTGCCACGCAATGAAGAAAGATGATCACGGACCATGAAAATATGGTGGTGGCAACATATTTACCAAAGGGAAGGCGCTGCATTAGATAGTGCCCTGGCCATTGCCAGGCAAGGTATCCTTTTATCCTTTTAGCATCATCCTGATATCAATTAGCAGCAGACCTACTCACCAACATAGAACATGGTGTTGAGGTTGTTATATTGAGCCTGAGAGATACCAGTCTCTTGGAAGAGACCGAGAATGGCTGCATAGCCCAACGTTGACTTGTCAATCTATAAAATAGGAGTTAATAACTAAGCCAATCCATCCAGTGGCCGGAGTGGAAACTTACAAACAATACAATGTTGATAGCAGATACCAGCACAATAAGCCGCAGGTATAGTTTTCTCCGGAGTTTTTTCTCGATCTCTGGAGTCAGAGGTCCAACCTTATCGCCATGCTCCTCAAGAAGACGCAGTGTGACATCCGCATACTTTGCACTGACGGTCTTTCCCGAAGACAAATCTTCTACCTTGTTTTCCGATTCCTTTTCCATTGTTACAGCGTAAAACCAGAGATGAAGAAGAGGACGGCGTTGTAAAATAAGAATGAAGTCTAGGAAGCGCAAAGAGTGCCGGGTGGTAAGCTTTAAGTATCGCTGGCGAGGGGAGGTAATTTACAACATAATCGGACAATCTCGGTGTCGTACCGCTGGAGAGATCCGCTGCACCAAGAGCCTAAATGTGCTTATTTCTTGCAGGATCCCAATTTTCAAAGAACCTCATCCAACCAACTACTCTCTATCTGACGCCATCATCATCAATGATTGCACCAGCGAAAAGTGCAGGGTTCTGAGACGTAAATTCTCCAATTCACGCAATCAATATCCACTTTGGTGCCAATAAGAACCAGTTAATTCCTGGACACGAGCGTGTGGATCCGAGTTAAAGGTTAAGCATACTTGGCATCCCGGCAGTGGAGATGGCATGTGGTAAATCGACTGATGCTTGAAAGTTTGGTTCTGCAGGAAGTAGCCTTATTACTTCCAGGGGCTGATATTTGACATGAATAGCCTTGAGGAATGACGGTGGAAGGCCGAGCCAAAACCCTTTCTGAGGTTTTAAAAGAAGATGTGGTGGTGCAAACCAACCCTTTGTTCGGCTACATACGCCAGTATGGTAACCAAAATTCCATTACAAAGTTCTCGGTTAACTCTTCCCCTTTGAGAAGATGCACAAATATAGTGGAAGGTCTTCTCCTTTCATATGATTTAGTGTTGTTGGTCGTGCCCAGACCTTGGCGAAGTCCTCCCTCATGATCAGATACCCGGACGGACACTCGGGGCAACGGATGCCCGGGATCCCGGACACGGCCATATTCTCCTGAGGTTGAAGAGGACGTCGTCGTTCTTAGGCGTGGTTATCTTCGTGGTCACGTCCATGTAGGGCCATGAACGACAAATGTTTTGTGCATGATTGAATCAAGTCGGATGAAAGAGGGAAACTTATGTCTTTGAAATTTCTTGAAATCTGGAATTTCCAGTCATCGAATACGCCCACTTATCCAACTATGGGTTTGCAAGTAGGCGAGTGAAGGCAGCAGAAACTGCACCCTCGCCATGCGAATCTTTATGAGGACTCGGAGCATTTATGACACTAATCACGACTCGACCTTTATTGTCTATGCAAAGGCTTTTTTTATTTCGTTAAAAAATACCAAACGGCAGTGACTCTATGTTAAGTAAATTTTCCTCCGCACTTTCTTCGGTACATCTTACACAGTCACAAGTAAAACGGAAGTGCACTTGTACATGTTCTTGTCTCTCCTCGAGTGTCGTAAACTTGGTCAGGTCAAAGTAGGTGATCAAGGCTTCTTCTCCTGCGCGGATTTCTCGTGCGGTAGTGTACACCATTCGCCCCTGTTCATCCGGCTTGTGTGAAACCTGAAATAATTAGTTATCTAACAAAATGCGCAAAGTCCAATACAATATTTGAGAGGGAGTAGAACACGCATTGGCATCACGCATGAGTAATTACTTACATTTGGAAGGCAGGAATGATTAAACCTGGCGGCCCTCGGATACAGCCCCAGACCATATGAGTCTCCTCTGGGGACAGGTTGATCAATCATATACAACGGGCCTGTCAACTTAGGATAGAGACCAAAAGTATTTGTCTCCTCCTTGCACACAATATCGAGTAGCTCCGTTGGGGTGAGAGACAATGGAGGAAGCGCCGTGCCAATCAGATATGAGTCAACAAGTCTTCTCCAGTGTTTCAACTGGGATTCTGGCCAAGAGGAAAGGTAGCTACAGCACATGTCGACTGCTTTCCAGTGACGTCCCCAGTCTTTCTCCCAGGGGAGTTGGCCTGGGATCTGTGAGTGTTTGCATCTCATTTCAAGATCACGCCCGGCGAGGAGACGAACAACATGCCAGAGTGTGACAAAATCGTATTCAGTCTCTTGTTGGCGCATCACACTAGCTTTCGTCTTCAGCCACAAACACTCAAACTGATGTCGTGAATAATCAGCTCGAAGGCAAGTAGCATCACACCATATGACCTCCTTTATGCATTTATTAGGACATTGTACGCCTGAGATGCGGGGTCCTCCATCTTGCGGAACGCGCCTAGAACATGCCAAATTGCTACAAACAAGGGCAGCGCCGGGAAATGTGCTGGAAGGAATAATTGCGGAGGGGGTATCGACGAGAAGAACAGTACCGCTAGGGACAGATGCCTTTACTCGAAGCAGCCTGCCCCGGTAAGGGTCGACGTCTGGTACAAGATGTGGATGCACATAGAAACTCTTGTCCTGAAGGTTAAGCTCATTGGCGCTTTTTGGCATGGCAGGCAACGGTTGTGGCTCACGCCTAGCAGGTAGGAAGCAGATTGACTTTCTTCACATGCTTTGTAATAGCAAGAAAGTGTGGGAAATACTGGCTGGGAACAGTTGGGAACGAACTCCAATGACGCTAAAGCAAAATTGATAGATAAGGAAACTTACATCCGCTCGCTTTGCTAGCTGGCTAACCACGTTTTCCATCCTCGCTAGTGATTTGGCCACCAGAAAAGAGTCTCGAAGTGGTTAATCCTGCCAATTCAAAGATCCACTGTGGTCTAGACCTGGACATGGCTCCCTAATCCAAAAGGAGCTAACGATAACAGTAAGTCGTTCAACGAATTGAGAACAAGTAAGATTGGAAGGATCGGTGACCGACATTTTGTTTCTCTGGTTCAGCCCATGTCTACAGACCGGATGCCGCCATGAGACCCAACATTGATAAGGACAGGGGAAAAGGAGCCTTGAACTATCGAATTCGTGACTCCCGTTGACAACTTGTAAGAAGGCTCTGGTTATAGTAACAAGTTCGTTTGCTTTTCACTCTCACGGGTGAGTTTGCTGATGAGAAAAGTGGCACCGATGGCGCCATGTTTGGTATTCTCTGCCGTGCAGATAGCGCGAAGGAAGCTCCCGGGTCTGCCGAGACTATTGAAAATATGTTAGTAACAAACCGACAGTCATTTCTTTTATCCACGTCGAAGGCCTCCAAGATTCTCAGAGTCTTCCGTGCTTCCTTTTTTGCGGCATTACCCTTTTCCGCTCTTTGGATCGTTGTGTTTCAGCCTAACCATAATCATCCGTTACACTAGCTACTTCCGTAGTAGGACCACTTGACACGAGTCCAGTCAGTTTACAAGCGACATGGAGGTTTAGCATGTGTGCGCCGAGACAGAGACGCTTTGTCCCGACACGGCAGTATATTTCTACTGGCCGGACCTGGCAATCGCCCTGCACTAATTCTATTCTCAGGCTGATCCGCCGAGATCTCCCAATCCCCCTCCCGACCGGTGTTGATGGTGACCGCGACAGTCTCAGTGCTGAATCATCATTGGTGGGCCAATCCCTCGTGAGCCGGAGGATTCTCTCCAGGCAACCAGGCTGGTGACTAAGCAGACCCAAGATTCTTCTGACTCCTTCCGAAGACTCACCTACCCTAAACGCGATTGAAGACATTGAGTCCAACAATTCTCACTCTTCCTCTTCTACAAGGGCTGTAGTCGGCTGTCTATCATTAAAAAGGAAAGAAACCAAGGAAGAATGTTGAAGAGACTCTTTGTTATTTTCTACCTAGAAATCATAAAGGTATCGCGACCAACCCATTTGACAATTCCGGCTAACAAGAGTCAAATTTGCCCTGGTTCGTAGCATTCCGTCAGAGGTCCAGTGAGAATTAATTGAGGAAGGAAAACGCCAAGCATGGATCCTTCTCCCTCTGACGCGTACGTAAGCAATCCACCAGGGACTCCGTCGTTCATTTCTTGCTATTGCTGCACGCACTCAACGCGATAACGCGACGCGCCTTCATCGTCTAAGCCGCGCCTTTATCATCCCCCCGCTGTTCTTGGCTTGTAAATTCCGTCAATTGGACAGTGTCCACTACCTTTTCCACGTTCTTATCCACACGGTCTCTCACGGCTTGATCTTCAAACATGAAGCTGAGTTCTTCCAACGATCGTCCGTGGGTCTCGGGGAAAAGCAACCAGATGGTGAAGATCTCAAACAAAACCCAGACGCAGTAGACGATGTAATATTTCCAGCCTATGGAATCCAATGCGATGGGGTTGACATATGTGTTGAAGAAGACGGCGAAACGGACCATTAGCTGCTCGACTGCGATACCCTGTGCTCGCTGCTGGTACGGGAAGATTTCCACCATGTATGTGTAGGTCAGAGCGTTCCAGCCGATGTTATAAAACCTGCAGCGAATATTAGCTTAGACTTTTATGAACGGCTGGCCGGTGTACTTGCGGTGAATAGAGGAAGATGAAGACCAGCACAGGAATCGCCGCAGATCGGGTTTGTTCAATCTGGAATCTCGCCGAGGCGATTGTCCAAACCACATATACTACCAGCGTGCCAGTGGAACAAATGAGAAACATGACGCGACGGCGGAATCGGGGTGCAATAAGAGCAATCGGTATGGCGTTGATCAGTCCCCAGCACTTCTCGCTCAGAATAACCTTTTGGACGGTGAGGTTGTTTGTTATCCCCACAAGGTTGAGTATCTTCTTCATATAGAAGCTGATTAGTCCATTACCAGACCACTGAGTGAAGAAGCCGACGATACCGGCCAGCATGAAGCGGCGGCGCATAGGCGCGTCTCGAAAAACGTTCTTCCAAACAAAGTTGGTCGCGCGATCCTTCTCTTCAGCGAGAGTAGACTGGATTTGAGCATACTCTACACGGACGTACTCTTCTCCATTCTCGCCCTCGCTGTGGTATTTCTGTAGTATTTCCAGCGCCTCCTCATGTCGGTCTCGGCTGATTAGCCAACGAGGTGACTCAGGACAGAACGGCATAAAAATAACTTGACAGAGACTGGGAACAAGTTGGAGAAAGCTCGGGATTCGCCAAGCCCAGGTGCTGGACATCTGGAATGTGCCATAGGTAACACCGGCGGCGAGGATGGCCCCCACGAACCAGCTTGCATTGAACAAACTCGTCAATGTAGAACGCTCTTTCTCGTATCCTAGCTCCCCCAACATAGACGATGCATTGACTATGGCGAATGGAATCCCGAAACCGAGAACCCACCGAGATGCAAGAAACATGTGATCGTTGACCGAGCCGGCTGTAGAGAATATTTAGATTAAGGGAGGATCAAGTAAAACACTTGGCCACGTACTTTGTAATCCAGCACCTATCATCATAATGAATGAGCCAGTTAAAATGGTCCGGCGACGGCCAAGATACTCGGACACCGTAGGAACAAACGGAATAGCCATGAGAGCACCGAGGGAATACATCGCATTGAGGAGGCCGAGGCGTGATGAGCTGGGATGGTTAAAATACTCCACCCAAGAGTCAACGGCATTGAGACTGTTCATCATGGAAGAGTCAAATCCAGACGTCCATTCAACACCGAGGCCACATGGGACCAGGATCAGATACAAAAAGCGAAGGTTAGGTTTATTCCACCATCTGATGGGATCGGCTTTGGCGATCTTGGAGAGGCGATCCTCTCCAAACTCCGCTTTCTGTCCTATAGCCATGGTGAAGACTTTGCAATTCACACTGGTGAATAACGTGTAAGAGAACGTAAAAGAGGCATTGTCAGAGCGGTATTGCGTATCTATTTAACATGAAGTTCCGCCCCCACCTACCTTTTCACCACACCACACCACCATTTCCATCTCCATCTTCTGAATGCGGGGGAAATCGCGCTACTTCCCACGAATCTACGTTTGGGGGGCTCCCACGTCCGACCACTCGCTTAATTCTTACACTAAATAGGGTTCATTTTGAGCATCTCGCATGGACCGAGCGAATCAGAGGTTCTACCTGGGCTGAGTGGAGGGGGGAACCTAGACTAGATCCCAGCTGGTGCGTGAGCACGGGAGTTTAAAAAAACAGGCGGATGTACAAAATTCCGATGGAGAAGGAGGCATGGTCCCAACAGATCATTGTAATGGTAAAATACGCAATTTTAAACACAATAGATCTGAATACTTATTATTTGCTTAATAGAAGATAATTTTTAATCAAGAACATTTATTTTGCAACGCATTTTCCGCTCAATGTCAACAGCAGTTTGATAGACTATTATTGGAACAACCAAGGAATTCATAGGATTCTTTGGAGTCGCGCGTTTGCAGGGTTGTGTAGTTGATAGATGCTCTTTTTGGGCGGGGAGGGGAGGGGGCCGAGACTAGTTGAGCATGATGTGGAGGGGAACGTTACACAACACCCATGCAAGGGAAACCAGCTTATTCTAGTCCTGGTAGGATTGAGTCGCACTCGGATGAGCAGAGACAAACATTGCTAGTCTATATCTTGATATGGGATACTCTGTTCTGTATAGTTTCGTGATATATACTCACCGAGAAGCAAGAGGCTGATCCGGATATTCGAATAATTCTTTTCGTAGCTCTTTCTGGACCGGATAAAGTGACTTAGAGAGCCGGTTATTCAGAGTCGAGATGATGGGAAATTAATTTCCCGTGTCAGAGATCCTAGGCTAAATAAAAGAAAAACTGATGATGAGTGTTCAACTGATGAGTTTTTCAGGGTGGGCGGAGAATAATGCGATTAAAGTTCGACGTTGGAAACATATCTCAAATGTATCTGTAACACCCAAAGTGCCTTAAGCTTATTACAATGATGAAAACAGTATTTTTAGCTATACTCATGTCCTTTGGGATCCTAAAACTAGCTCTTCACCTTAATACATCGCAACTTAATTCCACAACTCATCCTTACTATGACACATACATGCCATTTCTATTTGTTCATCCGTTTGGCATACCAAGACTTTACTCCTTGAATCTTCGCTGGAAATGTCTTGCGTAACTGAACCTTTAGTGGAGATGCTATCGTTCGAAGCATCGGAAATGGCAAAGCCAAGGCAAGCAGTACTGCTGACAACGGCAGATCTGAAGCGAGAGCTCTTTTCGCCAATACCACCGGCGAAAACAAGGGCGTCTACCTTGCCCTCGAGCGAGACGTAATAGCTCCCAATAAAGGCGGAAACACGGTCCACAAAAAGGTCGAATGCAAGAGCGTGTTGTGGGTGCTCTGCACGATCGGCTCCTGCAATAGCTGCAAAATCCGCAGTTCCTGTCAGGGCAGAGAGACCTGATTCTTTGTTGAGAATCTGCTCGGCCTTTGAGATGTGCAGCTTCTCAGTTGAGGCGGGAGATAGCTTTCCGACGTCGCTAGCGAAATGGAACACGAGACTCAACAATCACAAAATCAGCATGCGATTTCATAACGACCGCAATCAAACATATCGAACAGGAATATCTTTTTACCTTGGATCCACACTTCCGCTGCGGGTTGCGCCAGGGAGCCCGGAGAGGGGTGTGAGCCCCATGCTTGTATCCCAGCTTTTCCCGCCTTTAATGGCGCAGGCGCTGGCACCACTACCCAGATGCAATGCAATAATATTCAATTGGCTGACGTCCTTTTGGAGAAATTTGGCTACAGAACGAGTGATGAATGAATAGCTGAGTCCGTGGAAACCGTATTTCCTCAGGCCGTTCTTCCGCGCCCTCTCCTGATTGATGGGATACGTATAGACATGAGGTGGGAGGGACATGTGAAACTGGGTGTCGAAGCAGGCGATATTAGTGGTATCGGGAAGTTTGCGAATACAAGATTCAACAATCCCCAAGGCGGCACCATTGTGAAGCGGTGCAAGATCGCTAAGCGCCTCGATATGATGGTAGGTATCCTTGGTGATAATCTGAGCTGACTCGTATTTTCCCCCATGAACAATGCGATGGCAAGTAATCGCAATGTCGCTTTTCGACCTGACCTCGTCCAATTTTTCATCGCCCAAAAGAGTGTCAAGGAGAATGCTAAACGCATCGTCCTGGCTTTCGGCCGTTACTTGGTGGTTTTTGTAAATGTTCTCATTGCCGCGAGTGTAGGTCAGCTTGGTGCTAGGTGATGTTAAACCAACAACCTGGGCGTTAGCAATCTCGCGGGGCGTGGCATTGCGGTCTTCGGCTGAATAGACCGAAATCTTTAGAGAGCTTGATCCCGCGTTGATTGCAAAGATGATCTTCATAGTTGTTGGCTTTTGCTTCAGATGACGAGGGTATAAGGAAATAAGAGGCGGGCTTTGACATGTCATGGATTGTAACTACTGATGAGGCAGTGAATTATTCTGACTCAATACATCATAGATGATGACGAATTAATGACATGTGCGACCAGACTGTAGTTCAATTGATCGACGTCGTCACAGTGAGGAGAGCCCTGGTAATAGTGTGACAACATCCTTGAAAAATGGAGATATATGGAGCAGGCCTCTTTATTACCGTACCTCCGTAGTATTATACCTCTTCCATGGATTTCATGCCAAGTAAGTAAAGTGAATGACGAAAAAGTTTTATTAAGAGAGAGGTCAGTTTGACGTCATCAATCCCAGCTTCTTGGACGAAGCCTTCACACGCATCTATCCTTACCACAGGAAAAACAATTTCATGTCTTTGATTCAAGGATGATGCCAATTCAAATTAAAGCCTTCAATCTATTAGGCGACTCAATTTTTCAAGATGCCTGGTCAAGCAGTTAAGATTAAGAAGACATCACTCGGAAAAGATACTCCTTAATTACTCAAAGATCTCCAGTGAGTAATATACTTTCTCGCTAGTAGTTACCCCAGCTAACACGAGATATTAAGATCCGTAACTATAAGCAAAATAGTTAATAGAACCTGACACATATTGTTCTGCCTGCGAGACTATTTTGTCGTACTCTTCCTGAGCCTCGTCCTGGCTCTCGTTATCATCGTCGGTCTCATAGTCAAATACTGGTACCATACCAAACTCTCCACCAGCTAGGTAAAAGAATGACACCTTGCAGTCTCTGCTGCGTGAGCAAGGACTAACTTGACTTCGTAGTATCTCAAGAGCATTGGACCAGCTACCGTCTACCAATGTCGTGACTGAGATTTGAACCGAGACAGGGTTAGGACCCAGCAGTCGGCAAAATGCTTCTAGGTCTTTCTGAGACAAGTGGACATATTCGAGAGCAAGTTTTTGAAGGCTCGAGCTAGTGTTCTGCGGAAGGTATGCGTGGAGACAGTAGTAGTCTTCTTCCAGCTTGAAACACGCCATGTCGATAGTCGCGCACTCCAATCTGGGGGAAGTGAGCATGGCTGAAACGTATTTATCAACGTAAAACTTGTCTTCAGATTTGACATTATGTCTAGTTGATCCTTGTTCATTCATAATCTAGGCGCCAAACTCGAACACTCTTAACTGCCGGCATGCAGCTCTGAGTTGGCTCCACGGATTTTCTGACGAGCCTCCGTGAGGATAGGCCGTCGGAACGTTTTTCCAGGCGGAAGAGAAGCAATCTAGGCTGAGGCTGTTCAAGCATCCACCAGCTTCGTTGATAGCAACAGGTAGGTCTACCAGAACTCGGATAGGTAAAATCATTGGGTTCTCGGGCATTATCTCCAACTCTTCCCAGGAATGAGGCTGAAGTAAGAGTCGGGAAAGCTTGGCTCGATTTAGGATAAGTTCCGTGGAATAGTCTTCATCAGAGAAGTCATTGTCATCGCTATACCAGAAAACATGATCATGGACATTCAATGCTATCGGGTGCTGAGTTTTGGCTGTGGTGGCTGCTATCGTGTGAACAAATGAGCCACTCATAAGCAACTCGCACTGCTCTTCGTGCAGGCTTTTATATAATTCAAAAGATTGCCGTAAGATATGCTGGTACGACCCTGGATCCTGAGGCCAAATCTGTGAATCTTGGCCTTGGATATGGGTTTCCCATTCAGAGGAAAGAGCCTCATACTCATCGAGACATTTGAATAGCCGGTAACCCCTTGGGCCACCTTCTTGAGTGGTACAACTCCTGCTTAGGGATTCTGTTTCTATTTGGCAATGGGGAATAAATTGAAAATGGAGGGTCTCGAGCTTATTCCTCATGTAGCTCGCTATATCATGGGCAAGCTCCCGAGGGCGATAAGCGAGCGACAACTGTATTCCTCGGAGACCCTTGATGATAAATGCGTTCTTGGACAGCCCAGTTAGGCGGTCTAGCGAGGACTGTGACAATTCGAGCCGCAGAAAAGTACATAGCAGCGGCGATGCAATGTGATTGAAAACACGGCAGGTCAGACGTAAACTCTGAAGCGTGGCCAGTGCCTCTGACACATGATCTCGGTGCCGATAAGCATAACTGCGCCAGTTTATCTGCCCAGAGGAGGTGTAATTGTTGTCCCGGAATTCATAGAAAACCTGTTCCCAGACTTCGGTGGGGACATGGAAGGGTGCCGAGGCGGGTAAGTTGGCGGTCTCTAGAGAAATAGACATGGCGATCCTTGATATCTAAGCAGGGGAATTTTAGAACGCACAATTGATAGGAATAGACGGTTGGTCTGATTTTGGAATTGGCAAGAGCAATTCTGTTCCGATGATGTGGCAATTAGTAATGTTGAAACCTCGCTTATGGTTTTAAACCTGTGGAGTAGGTAAGGTAGTTGATGACGCCCGAGCCGGGCTGACCAATGAACTGCCTTGTGGCGTAAACGAAAACCCTCTGGATGGTTGTTGATATGCCATTGATGAGAGTGAAAATTTTATCCTTTGAAAGAATTGAAATATCTTGTGATGATAGCAAGCATTAAACAACCGATGCATCCAGGGGACCTTCTGCAAACTGTAAGCAATGTGTTAAAAGGTAGAAAGTGCGCTTATGCCAAGGCTTTGAAATAGGTAGATTAAGACTTGGTAAAGGGGGGGAAATGTGTTATTTTCTCTAACAGCTGGCTCCTTTATACAGGTTCAACCTAGCAGTGTAAGTGGCTCAGTACTACACACTTCCAAAGAAGGACGCCGATAGTAGTAATAATAATCATAATCACACAGATTCAGATTGAGAAGGTTCTGTCTTTGACCAATCGTGGAACATGAAGTTAGCAGAGCGATGGGCTAAACATCTTGAATATAACATCTTGACTATTTTCAAGGTCATGTCCAATTATCAATCTCCACTGCGTTCTCGAGGCTTACGGAAACTCTTCAGGGTGACTAACCCAAGATATCAGGCTGGTAGGTCTCAAGAAGCTTGGCAGCTAATACTCGACGAGAGCCATAATTATTCTGCAGGATCTAGAATCAATAAAAGAACACTGCAAGTTTGCTAATATGTATAGAATTGGCCAAAAGTCTGGTGATATTGGGCAATAAGATGATCCTCGAGACGATTAATGTACACAAAGCCTATATTTGTGTATGATAAACAAACAATGCACAAAGCTCTTGGAATGGCTTTGGCCTTGACGAAAAACAAACGAGTTCGAGACTGGTTCAATTATGAGTAAGTTGTAAAATAATGTTTAAATAGACGGATTTCTGATTAATCTTATTTCTCACTTGTATGTAGAATTCATTTTAAGAGATCTCTAACAAACGAAGAGTCAAAATACCAGACTAAGGACTTTGAATTTTCATCCTATAGATTGCTCAATCAGGTGCCTAAGCTTATTGAGTGCTAGTATCACATTCACCGAGGGACGAGGATATGGATGAATGGAGGAAATAAAGATTAAGATTGCTCTTGATCAAAGTAAGCTTCTACCACCCAACTAATACTCCAACTTTGCCACGACTATTGTCAAAATGTTATGAAAATGAAAACCAAAGATTCCGCTAGTGCTAGCAACGATGGCCCTGTTACAATTTCTCAAATATCTCAAGGTCAGATGACGAGGACATGATGTGAGACAAGCTGGACTATCTTGATGTGAATCCTATGGTAAGCTCGCGAGAATTCAAGGATGAGGCGCATCAAACCATATGAGTCTGGACATAGAGCTGTGCTGGAGATAGCTTTCATGTCCTCGTGAGCCCCTGGAATAGGTAACCAGGTGAGCATATGAGCGAATGAATCTCACTTAAGTCCACTACTTGGGGAGGGGGGGAGGAGAATTCAAAGCCATAACTCGTCCTTACGCCCCAGGTACCTCGGCAACCACCAAGCGATGATTTAGAGCGGCACTGTTATCCCATCGGCTTCCGTGGGATGGCACACTTTATCTACTCCCAGCTCTTTGTAATCAGACGTTCTGCTTAGCTTCACCAGGGGGTGTAGGAATATGATAATTCCCTCACGGAAACGCCGCTGCTGTCTTCCTGTTTCGTACAATACTAATAAATGCGGTGACATTCCGTGATCGCACTCGCCCCGACGAAATCCTGGGGACGAGGCAAGGCACGCGCAAGTGGGGCATGCTCTTCATTGCCTTCATGCAGCATTATTCAATAATCATCCCAAAGGGCCGAGCACAGCTCAGCCGCATTTGCAGGCGCTGAGCGAGAAGTGGTATGGATTCTGCGAAATGCGTACGCAAATGGACTGACAAACGTACCTGTCCCAGTTTTAGCTGCTATTCTGCTCTCACGAACCAATGAGCGATTTTGATGTGTACGAGGCGTTTCGATTTCGTTATCCTGCGAAGCGATGTCGTTATGACCAGGGTGAGCTCCTGTATGTGCGCGATGCTACGAACCCCGGGGCTCCGGATCGAGGTTGCATGATATCAGAAATCAGCAGACAGGAATCACGGTTAAATGAGATAACGCCAACCGGTGATAAGGGCCAGCCATTGATGGATGACCTGTTCATGGCTCAGTCCTCAAGGGAGGCCGACAAGACAAGCAGACAGAGCTTGGACGATGCAAGGGAGACGTCGCATCCTCCCTCGGGGGGCTTAAGTGATCTGCAATAACCCCCATTCGCATGCTGTAAGAAGCTAACTGCCCGCACGGCTTCCACCTGCCGTAGTATCCGGCTTCCCGCACCTTGATTAGGAAGAACATGCATGTCAGAAACTGGATGGAGGCCTGCGTGCGGGTCTGTTTGCTTTGTCGCTAATAGTGAAACAACCAATGGAGTGGGCGGGTACACTGTGGACTATTGCATCATGGAGGGCCATGTTTGCGACGTATCGTCAACTCCGATTGCATCATCGGAGGCCATGTTTGCAAAGTTTGGAGCACACAGGCAGCCTTCTACTTTAGCGATGGTTCCAGTCACAACATCCAGACACATAAATCGTTCGCCAGCTGCTGATATAGTATTGAGTCGCTCATGGGCAGTCCTCAATTACATTGATACGCTCACTCACTTTCCTCTAGCAAAAGGGGCTATGGCGTTCCTCAATTATTTTAAGGGCTCCAAGCCCGACTCTGCAGTCCAGACCGATGTTGAGATCAGCGACACCTCTTCTGGGCCAGAAGTGATTCACGATGGAAACCTGGCATATACTCGCGCGAAAGCAGGAAACGGTTCAAAGGCTGCATATCAGGAGGCCGTCGGCGCGCCCGTGGAAACCGATTCACCGCTTGGCTACGAGGTCGGTTGGTTCACCGTTATATTTGTGAACATAAACATGTTAATTGGCACTGGTATCTTCTCACTTCGTAAGTTTGAAAAAAATCAGATCCTTTATGTGATGAATCATGCATCTGATTTGCGAAGCTGCGAATATTCTTCTCCGAACTGGGTCTATCGGCCTGTCCTTGATATTTTGGTTCATTGGATTTCTCATGGCCGCAAGTGGAATCAGTCTATACTTGGAATTTGCCAGCTATTTTCCCAACCGGAGTGGCAGCGAAGTAGTATATCTTGAGCAGGCATACCCCAGGCCCAAATACTTCTTCCCGATTGCATTTGCTGTGCAAGAGGTTATTCTAAATTTTGGCAGTAGCAATGCTATTGGTAAGCCATTCGATTCGATTTTGGATTTAATTTGAATAAACTCTGACTCGAGATATATTAGTCTTTGCCGAGTACGCCTGGAAGACAGGAGGTACTGCAGCCTCCGCATGGCAAAAGAAGGGCGTCGCTGTGGCTATATATACAATTGCAATCCTTTGTGTTATTGCTAACAACAAATTGGCATTCCGGGTGTCTAACGTTCTTGGTGTCCTCAAACTCATTGTTGTTGTTTTGTACGTTTTGACCCCTTTTCGCGAGAGAATGCCACTGACGAGATTTCAGCATTGGTATCACCGGGCTAGTGGTTCTTGGTGGAAATCTCGACCATATTCCAAATCCCACAGCCAATTTCAAGAACGCCTTCGAGGGACATGTGCCTAATGGGTATAGCCTTGCCAATGCTCTTGTCAGTGTTCAATTTGCCTATGGGGGCTACAACAACGCTTTCAATATGGTCAACGAGATCAAAAACCCTATTCCAACCCTGAAGAGGAATACAAGTATTGCTCTGATTATTGTTTCCGTGTTGTATCAGTTGTGTAATATTGCGTACTTTGCCGTTGTGCCAAAGGACGAGTTCGCCTCAGCTAGCCAGACAGCGGCCACTCTCTTCTTCGAGAGGACATTCCAAAACAAAGGAGCTACAATTGCTCTCAATTTCTGCGTGATGATGTCCGCTTTTGGTAACCTGATGGCTGTGCTCATTGGACAGTCACGAATGATTCGAGAGATTGGCCGGTAAATACCCAAGACCACAAGCGGAGGATTCAACGCTAATGATAGAATATAGCCAAGGAGTACTTCCCTATCCCGAGTTCTGGGCCTCAACAAAACCATTCGGAACACCGCTTGGGCCTTGCTTAATTAGCTGGTTTATGACATTCATTATGATTGTTGCACCCCCACAGGGCGACGCATTCCAGTTTGGTAAGTTATCCACTTGTACTCTAAGTAATGTCGGCTATCAGAAAGAGCTTTATGGCTGACATCGGAAAAGTGGTCGATCTACAAAGCTATCCATCCGCTATGTTTCAGGTTGCAATGACTGTCGGAATTTACATCCTTCGCTGGCGCCGTAGGCGCTCGGGGATCCCCCGTTCCGAGTTCCGAGCCTGGGATGTTGCAATCCTCTTCTTCCTGGCCTATAAAGTGTTTATTCTTGCAATGCCATGGTGGCCTCCTCTGGGCGGCGCCAATGGTGGTGATGTCAGCTTTTGGTACGCCACCTACTGCGTTGTAGGAATTGGAATGTAAGTAACCTTTGTTCATGCTGTTTGTATATCATGCTAACCTAAACCCTAGCATCATTGTCTGTGGCCTTTATTATGTCGCGTGGATTTATGTCTTGCCAAGATATGGCGGATATAAAATCAGGTCAGAAATGGTAGCCCTAGAGGACGGCGCAGCTAAGACTCATCGCCTAGTCAAGGTAAAGAATGAGGAGGTAGAAGAATGGGATAATGTACATGACGAAGCTGGACATCTGCGACAGAGGACCACTACTCATGGAGGCGATAAGGCTGTGGAAGAATGATCAACTCGTGCTTTCTATTGCACTCGGTACAACTGTCATCATATTTGGCGAGTGTTATCTCAAGAATTAACTCACCCTTATATTCGAGGACCTCAATAAACCACACCAAGATGAATTTAAAACCATTTCTAGATTTAAAGATCTTTAAGATAAACTACCTAACTTTAAGTCTTAGAGTTTATTTATTGGCTCGCACGATAAACCCTGACTCGGACTAGAAACATATAGCCCTCCATTAGCCCATTATCTAAGGGTCATCCAAGCGACCCGCAACGCCCGCAGCCTTCTCATCGTATCGCTGCTGTTCGGCGATCTCGTCGGCGGGAATGTGGTCGGGTGTCGAGTTTACGAGAATAGTCATGGGGACCAAAGCAGCGGCAAGCAAGCCAAAGGATACACAGCTGTAGAAAAGTATCGATATGATGAGCACTATTTCCTTGCACGGCAGGGAAGGGTCGAGGTTGGACTTACAATCCGATCAAAGGATCACTTTCTGTTTGAGTGTTCATGCCATATGCGATGGCTTGACCAATTGCCTCGAGACACCTGAAGGCAGCGCCGTTGCGCACGTTTTCTAGATGGTATGAGCTACGTTCTTGGCCTCAAAACTATAGCAATATCGCTAGCTGGAGAATCCCATTGGGAAGTTGGCTTACCCTGAGCATTGGAAGCAAATGAAGACAGAAGCCAGTACATGTACGACTGAGATAAGGGGCCGGTAGTCTGTACAAAGAAGTAGGGCAGGAAAGCGGTTGGGTAGAGGCGGTCCTTCCAGTCGATTGTACCCGGATCGTCGCTTCTAAACCTGGCCTCCATGATGATGGACCAGATATAAACGCCCACATTGAGAATGACCACGATACCGAGACCGATCTGGGCACGGCGGCGCTGGCTGAGATGCTTCATATCGAGTACGAATCCAAGACCAAAGCAACCAACACTAAAAATCAATGTTAATTTAATCAACCGCGAATTGAGACAAAACGAAGGGTGGAGTTGGCTAGGCGAGAAACTTACATGCAGAAAAACGGCGAGATGAGCGAGGAGAGAGCGCGAGCGCGAACAGAAAAGTGAATAGCAAGATAAGTAGACCAAGAACCACTGTTACCTTCCCGTTAGCCGACACAGCAAGGTGGAGGATGCGGAATTGGAAATGTATTAATGCATACCCGTAAAAGAAAGACCAAAGAGCCCATATAGCAGCAAGAAGAATAAGTCTTGAGGTAATTGTTTTCGAAATCTGCTTGATTTCCTGCTTGGTGGTAAGCGGTTCCGCCACAACGATACGGCTACCATCAGATCGAACAACGTGTTCAAAAGGTGTGATCAAAAAGGCGAATGGTAAACTAAAAGTATAGCCAAGTCAGAGTTTTCGTATACTTCAGTTTAATTGTTTTTGGAGGGGATACCTACGCCAGGCATTCGATGGCAACAAAGGCAAGATACGTGTCAGGCGTAACGCCGCCGCTAACACCTTCCTCATAGTTCTTTGACAAGCTGTTGCGAAGCGGATAGAACATGTGAGAAATTGGGTCTAATGACGAGCAAATGATGGACAGAGGCAGTACTCACTTGATAGCACCACCTACAAGCTGCCCTAGGTTACGGGATACGATCCAGAGAGCCAAGTACTTGCCACGCGCACCGGACGGGGCGAGCGTCATGATGGCTCCGGCTTCCGCAACATACCAGCAACCAGTGCCAATGCCGTCTATAGCGCCGGCTAGAATAAGATACTATGGGATATTAGAACCCTAAACAAGCTGCGCGCGGACGAGTTCTTTGGGATGGTTGAAGCAGGGGTAGCTACTTACCCATTGGTTGCCGAATTTGCTATTACAATAATATGAGGAACCCAGGACAGGGAAAGACATAGAGCCGATAACGAGGGCCCATTTCACCCCGAGCTTGTTGACAACTGGACCACCGAAAAAACAAGCTTTGGGGGGGGAAGGCATTTCGATCAGCTTCAGAATTTAAAAGCAATGGACGAAAATTGCATGCTTAAGGGAAACTCACTCAAGGCGAGACAAGCATAGGTCAGAGAAGTGGCAATATTGGCCACACGAGGAGTCGCGAGACCACCACCACCAAGACCTGCACGAATCATTTTAGCATCTCTGGCTTAAGAGCACGTAAGTAAGCCTAAGCTTGTCGCCACATACCAGCAATTGCGTCGGCCATGGCTGGCCCGCAGAAGGCTTGGACACTGAGAAGCATCATCTGAGTGAGACTATGCTGCAGAATCCGTTTCCACAATGGGACGGTTGCTCGGTAATGCTCCATAGACATGGATTCAGGGACGACAACAACGTCGCTAGATGGTGGGGTGTTGGCATCGGCCAGCCGGCTCTTTCCGGCAGGGCTTGTCTTGACGTCGGCCATGACGGAAAGGAACAAGAGATGGTGTTACTACTATGAAGTCACCGTAGAGAGGAGAGAGTGTTTGAAAGAACAATCGACTGGATGGGATATAGCAAAGAGGGTCATGAACAAAAGCAAGAATCTCGGTCGTTCTTATAGTTCTCACAGAACACTACCCAGTGACAGATCGAACCGAGACGGTCAACCCCACCGTTATCAACCGATGGTTTTCCCCACGAAAGTTAAGGTGCTAAATTGACTCGCGGCAGCATTTGCCGGGGCCAAAGATAAGTACGTAAGTTAGAAGGTCCAAGCGAGGACTGTGATTGGTGATTGCACCATTTCTGTGGAGACTTCATGGGAAGGTCCAAGCGAAAGCAAGTCTCATGCATCGATAAGGGCCATTCTTGTTGGACGATTTGGAAGAAAAGTGGCTCCCAGATGGAGAAACAGTCACGAAGGTTGCATGCATATAAAGACTTTCACCCGCCAGCATACGCAGAGTGATACTTACATGGAGGCTTATCTCGCCACCCGGATTCAATAATTATCTAATTTCTGGCACACTCCATCCCTTCTCTCAATCTAGACTTTCGAATAATGGCGTCTAGACGTAAAACCACCAAAGTTATCATAGTTGGTGGAGGCGGCACCCTAGGCTCGTCCACGGCCCTGCATCTGATACGTTATGGATACACGCCATCCAACATTACTATTCTCGACACTTATCCTATCCCGTCATCTCAATCTGCTGGCCATGACTTGAACAAGATTATGAGCATTAGATTGCGCACAAAGGCTGATTTGCAATTATCACTTGAAGCACTGGACATGTGGAAGCACGATCCACTCTTCAAGCCCTTCTTCCATAATGTTGGCATGGTAAGCTACGTCTCCTTCCGGGGTCATTTATCGTCGCGAGACTTTTTTTCACTGATACTTGATGTAGTTTGATTGCTCGTCGGAGGCTGAGAGCATCGCAGAACTCAGAGAGTACTATCAGGCTCTTATTGATGCCCATGCTGGCTTGGATAAGACCAATTTTTGGTTAGACAGTGAGGATGATATTTTGTCAAAATTGCCCTGCTTTACAAAGGAACAAGTCAAGGTAAAGGCTAGCGAAATTTGTCATAAAAAATGTGAACTGATAATGACCATCGCATAGGGATGGAAAGGATTGTTCACCCTTGACGGAGGCTGGCTTGCAGCAGCAAAAGCTATCAACGCGATTGGTCTCTTTGCCAAAAGACAAGGCGTTCAATTTAAATTTGGCGAGTGCGATTTGTCTGTCTTGAAAACACGTTTGCTCCCCTTACTCACGCGCCTATAGTGCTGGCACGTTCAAGAAGCCCTTGTTCGCCGACGATCAAGTCACCTGTTCTGGTGTTGAAACTATCGACGGCTCCAGATATTTCGCGGACAAGGTGATTATGGCTGCCGGGGCGTGGACACCGACTTTAATTGATCTTGAGGATCAATGCGTTTCCAAAGTGAGTCTCATCCAGTCTACCCTCTGATCGTTGCTGACAAGAGGCTTTGCTTGTTTAGGCCTGGGTCTTCGCCCATATACAGTTGACCCCAGAGGAGGCTGCTGCGTACAAAAATACCCCTGTGGTATATGACGGTGCTTATGGTTTCTTCTTTGAGCCAAATGAGTAAGTATCACGATCCTAGTCAGTCCAGGTCACGCATTCAGAAGGCTCATGCTGAATATCTTGCTCCCAGAGATGGCATTATCAAAGTTTGCGACGAATTCCCTGGATTTACACATTTCAAGAAACATCAGCCATATGGCGCAGGCGAACAAAAATGCATATCGGTACCCCGATCCCATGCCAGCCACCCGACGGACACCTACCCAGACGCCTCCGAAGCCAGCATCCGTAAGGCCATCGCAAGGTTTCTGCCAGGACTCAAACATAAGCCACTTATCAATCGTGCAATGTGCTGGTGCACAGACACGGCTGATTCAAATCTTTTGATTTGCGAGCATCCAAAGTGGAAGAATCTGATTCTGGCCACGGGAGATAGCGGGTATGTTTGCCCTGAGGTCGTTGTGTTGCCCTAGAAATGAAACTGACACGTCACTTGCCGCTCTAGTCACTCGTTCAAAATGCTCCCGAACATTGGCAAGCACATTGTCGAACTGATGGAAGGATCTCTTCAGCAGGATCTGCTGGATTGTTGGAAATGGAGGCCCGGAGGAGATGCGCTCAAATCCACAAGAGCGGCTCCAGCAAAAGACTTAGCAGATATGCCTGGTTGGAAACATGATGCTCGGTTGTAAAGTTGCGATGGTAGCTCTATTGACAGGCTATGAGAGTGGTGTAACTAGATTGTATTGATTGGAAGTTTAAGTCATTATGTTATCTACGTCTTTGAGAAGAGTGGAAAAGGGGAGAGAAGAATGCTAGCTTCAATGGCGAGGATAAGGTGTGGGGTATGGTTCGAGGGGAAGGTTGGGATTATGTAACGGGCTTACTTAAGATATTGAACTTACCGTGAATCCCGACAGCGGGAAAGTGGGTGAATCCTCTGTCACGCGTTACCCCTCCGCAATCAGAGCGGAGCACGAGTGTATTGAGGTAGGTGTTCACGTGACCGACGTGACTCGTTTCGGAGGCCTTTGTTCAGAACATCATTGGCCACCCCGTACGACGTAGTCACGATTCATACATGATGGAATTTTAGCCATTTTGTCCCCCGAAACCTGCCTCTAATAATAATATACCCTGGTCATCGTATTGAGAATGCCACGACGCAAGGCAGCTGACAGGGTTGGCTTCATTCCGCGGCGAACACGCTCGGGCTGCAGGTACGTTATCCGAAAGCAATCAAACCCAAGGTTGACCGGTTGAGTTTACATCTGTCCGTGTTCCGTAGTACGTGCCGAGCACGCAAAGTCAAGTGCGACGAAGCCCAACCGCAATGCGGCAAATGCAAGGCTCGCGGCGACTGCTGTGAATATGGACCAATACAGCTGAAATGGGAATCTGAATACTCATCATCAGGACGGGCCTTCGGCAGACTGGGAGTGTGGAGCAAAGAGGGATTCCGCCCCTCATCCCCTGGAATAAGGCAACCTGCTTGTCCAACATCATTCACAGCTTCACGGAAGCCTCATTTGGTTGTCGATCATCATTTTGTCAACCTCTACGCTTCTGATATGGATCCTGGCCTACCAAATTGCTTAGACCCTAACCTCCATATGAAGGAAGAACAGGCACTTGTTTTCGCGACAGCATCACAAATGCCCACTCGCCCTTCACCTATGCCCACCTCTCCTTCTTCATCCTGCATTTCTGTTTCTGAAATTGACACCATCGCTCGCCCGGTCTCGTGGTTTCCAAATTTTGAAGGCTCTGAACTCGAACTACTCGATTATTACCTACACCGAATATGCCCCCTAACCTACACTTCCCAGCACTATACTTCTCCGTTTGCTGAACTGATCATGCCTCTTCTCAGCTCCGGGGGCCATGATTTGGCATCTCTCTCCGCCATGGCGTTTTCAGCACGCCACGGAAGCCTCAGTCGCCCTGAGTGGTCGTCCAAAGCCTTGACTTTACGAGGGAAAACCTTGGCCGCGGTGCGAGAAAGCCTGAGTGTTCCGGGAGATATGATGGGCTACGCTCTGCGTAACTCAAGAATTCCCCTGGCTATGATGTTCCTCTGCATGTATGAAATCTTTGACAGTTGCGACCATCGGTGGGTCATCCATCTCAGAGCTTGCCAGGACTTTCTCCATCGGAGAAGGCTTCTTCTCACCACTGCCATCCACGAAACAGACGAAGAGCGGAATCATGTATCTCTGGTAGGACGGTTCTTCGCCTTCCAAGACGCGATTAGCCGTACTGCGTGTGGGAACCCGTCAGTATTCAGCTGGGAGTACTGGCAACAGGCTGATCTTGACGGGACCGATTATCTGTTTGGGCGCAGCACAAAATCGGCCGCCATTTTGTTCAAGACCACTGAACTTGGACGAATGAAAGATTCTTTATCTCCGGAAGATTTCGAAACACGTTTGTTCATTTTGGACCATGAGATCGCGTCTCTCGATGCCGTCGACACTGAAGACTATTTAGCCAAAGAGTCGACGAAGCTCTACCAAAACTGCCTACTCCGCAACGCCACGCCCTCCACACCCATCGTGCAAGAGCTCGTCGACAAACTCTTGAAACAACTCTACACTCTTGTGCAGGAAACTCGCTGTATATCGAGCAGTCTCGCTTTCCCTCTCTTCATCAGTGCAGTTGAGCTCGACCCTCTCAATTGCGAGGCATTTCTCATAGACAAGACCACAGGGGAGCCGAAATCAGGCCGCTCTATTGTGTTGGACATATTGAAAACGATGTCGGGGTCTTGTCTATTCAATGTTGGGCGACTGGGCGATGTGATACGTCAGGTTTGGGTGAATCGGGACCTGCATCTGGAGACTGGCGCAACTTCGGCGGCTGGATCTGCCATCGGGTTGAATGATTGGACAGTGTGCGTGAGTCCTTATTGTACCAATCTTAGTCTTGCGTGACTATCCAGAGCCTGAAAGAGACTGGTGTCCTGTTTCGCAATTATTGGAATATAAGCTTCTTGAAGTGGTCTATAATCTTTATGAAGCTTGTACTATAAATCTTTTATTATGGAAGCTAATCTAACCTTATAACTTTACTGTACTTGCTAGCTTTATAATTAATATAAGAGTAAACATTCTTAATAGCTTAATTTGAAAGCTAGTCTTAAATTTAAGCTAATTATTTACTAGATCAAGTAGCCATTTCGAAGCGTAAGGGCTACTAAATTAAGTAGTAACAATATAAGATTAGCCTAGGTAATGTACCAGAAACTATTTCTTATATCGCCAACCTCCCAGATCAACCGGTGTAATCACAGTACACCTCGTTACTTCCAGACACTCCACACGAGGTCAAGACCTTGCTGCTCTGTTTGATATCAATAATTGTCGATCCTGAAACTCCAACAGTTGTGCCGCTGGTTGTGGTAGCTGAGGCACCAGTGAAAACAAACTCCCCAAAATTAGCAAACGGAACAAGGCTGTTGCCAGACGAAAAGTCTTCAACAATCCATTCTGCGTTATATTCACAGAGCTTGTCTGATTCTCCGCTGAATGAATGACTAACAGACTTCCCAGTTGACAGATTACTTATGGTGGCTGTGCCAGCACTGCTGGATGTTGCCTTGACGGTGATCTGAACAGAGTCACCAGCCGTTAGAGAGAAGCCTGAAAACGTATATGAATCTTTCAAGGGTAAAATATTAGTCAACAATTTTATCAACTTATAGTTGCACGTGGATCAAGGCTTACAGTCTGGATACCACTCGTACCAAGCCTCATAAACGTAAGAGCTTCCCTGGACACCGACATCAATCCCGGTTTGAAGGATTGCGGTGTCACAAGTATCTCCATCGATACCAACCCAGGCAGAGGCATAGTAGGTAGTCTTAGAGGAACCACCCGACGGAATGCTGGGCTTTGGAACGTTCACAGTAGCCGTGACAGAGTTGTATCCTGTTCCGATGAGAACGGCCCCAGCCCAATTGCTGGAATATTCTACATGGGTGGAGTTGTCTGGCTCTTCGGACTGTGTAGAGTCAAGAACGGGAGACTTCGGTTGGGATTGTCGAGGGTTGCCAGCACGTTCGGCTACCCTTTCGAGATTTCGGGCACGGCGTGTAGCTGTGCCCATGGCTGCCAGAGAGCCAGAAGCAAAAAGTAGGGTCAACGCGATGCTTGGAAACTTCATGATGCTCTTGAGACAGGATTGAACAACGTTTGTTTTTGAAAGTGAGATAGTGATGAAAATTTAGCAAAGAGCAGGTCGATAGAGCCGGTATTTATGTTGATTCTGCAAACCACTTGTTCCAGGCAAAGCCTATCGCCATCGAGGGTTGATATCACGAGTTCTAGGGTGAAAGCAGGTTCTCTCAAAATTCCAATTCCTACCTTCCTCCTATGACAGTATCTCCGTGGGGTCCGCATCTTTACATGACCATAATCCACTTGGTTTGAGGTGGTGCGAGTTGTGACAGTCCATTCAACCACCTTTTCCGGCATGGCCATGCCGAGAACTTTTGATGCTTCAACAGAGAACTAAATCCAAAGCAAATTCAAGACATGCGAATGATCTTACACATTGAATCAGTTTGCGTTGGCCACTCTTGTTACTATTTAAATAATGATCGTACACGAGATTGGCTCTGCCATCCTTAGATGTATCTGAATCGAAAAATGATTGACAGCATTGATTTACGAGCTCATTTATCAAAGTAGATGGTTTGATCGGCATCTGTCGTGCCGATATCGTACCTAAATCCCTGCCTAGCTACCTTGCCGATGCGGGAGACCGCAGCGGTTGACTCTCATTCTAGATAAGGGTTGGAATGTAATTTGGTACTGTCATCTATGAGTCTAACTTGAACAGTAATGGAATCCATTATGCTGTATGCTGTTAATACTCTCCATTTGTGAAGGCATACGTTTCCTCACATGTGAGGTTTGAATTGTTGAGAATATACACCTTCCCCTACTTAGCTACTGGGGACTCATATTCATTCTTGAGTCACAGTCGACTGCTTCATAGAGAGGATTACTGGTTTCCTCGATGGGAGTCACGCAGAGAAAGTATGCTACAAACTTTTAGTAGAGGAAGATCCAACATGGTCGAGCCTGGCCTAATGGAAGAAGGGAATATGTGCACTTGACAGAAAGAGGGGATCACTCGCGACTCAGTGTTCTGTTACTGCTGCCACTAAGTTTAAACGTAGATGCAAGAGAAGAGAGGGCAAAGGGGATATCGCCGAAATTTGTAGGATTCTCGACCGCTTTCGGATATGCTATGCCGCATAAAAGAGTTCGAGCAATACCGCTCTTCTAATCGTTGTTGGGCAACTTCACATCCGTGATTGCCGATCTAAACACCCTCATCTCGACAAGTACACTCGTTATCAACTTGTGGGACCCCTTATCCGTTGATGTTAGGGTAACATGCGTGCTGATTTTGGAAGGTGGGCGGGAGTCGGCATCATCAATCACACGGTTCACTAATTATGGGCTTTGGATGGAACGATCCTAGGAGTGAGGAGATGATATATTCTGGGGTAGAGGTGTCAGGTAGAAAGAAATGAAGGAAAGCGGTGGATCTAGGATTGAAAGAGGAAGCTGTAGCATTTTGTATGAGAGCATTCCTGATGGCGTACTTGGGGACCCTCGTGACTCGGAAGACAGGTCATAAAATTAACAATCGCAATGGCCTTGCTAAGTCATCCTGTCTGTTAAGGCTAAAAACTTTTATTTCAATCTGGCTTTGAGATACTGACTGGAAATGACAGGCGAAAACGAAGGAGCAAAGAGAACACCTCAAGCTGTCGTGAATACAAGACCAAGCGAATACCTTTAGATTGCCAATTTCCTAATCCCCCATATATTACTTTCTTTATCCTTTGTATATCATTTAAGTCCGTAATTTCAATTTAGTATAGGTAACGGCGAGGGATACTTCGCAATAATAGTCCGAGTCCAAGAAATGAACACGATCAAGTGAATCTTAGATATGTGTGAAACCATTTGATGCCGTAGTGTAGAACGGCTTCATGGGGTAACACAGTTAAGAAAGCCTTTGATCACTCTGAATGCCACCGAAACCTGGGGCATCTCTCTCCACAGAGCTTCAATAGACCACGCAAGTAGTCTTGCTCTAGATAAGCCTTATTTTGGCATTGTATTGAGCCAAAAACTGCTCCAAGTCTGAAAATATTCGATTCGGAATGACCGTCATCGATTCAGCTGTCCCAGCAATGCCAAAATGTCTTAGAGCTTGAGGGACTCTGCATCACTTGTTTCCCATGGATGTTCTCTCTCCACAGATAGAATGAGCTCTGCATGTTTTTCTGTTCTTGGCACAATTATGTACGGGAAGGGCTTAGGGTGGCAGATCAGCCCAGCCGTAGGCTGGAGAGTCGCTTCCACCTCTTCACCATCTGCATCAATAGCTTTGCTTATATGGAAAGCGGCCAAGATCCGCGACACTGTGATGAAGAGGCTCTCCATCGCAAGGTATCTCCCAGGACATATTCTTCGGCCATAGCCAAATGATTCTGTTGTAGGCTCTGGCTCATTTCGAGGTTCCAAATATCTGTCAGGGTCGAAATCACTTGGGTTTGCGTACGTCTCGGGGTCATGCAAAAACCACCAGATTGCCGGGACTAAATATGTTCCTTTTGGGATGCTAAAACCATTGTACACTATTTCATCGTCCGTCACATGGGGTGTACCAACCGGTGTTACCGGAAGCCAGCGGAGCGTCTCGCTCACCAATGCATTGACGTATGGAAGTTGATGTCGGTCAGAAAAGTCCGGTAGCCTTTCATCGCCAATCACCTTGTCGATTTCTTCCTGAGCCTTTTGTTGAACATCTGGAAACATTACCATCGCAAGGACAAAGCTGCATAGTGTCGAGACAGTTGTATCCGCTCCGCCGCCGTACAGAATGGCTGCCGTCTGTTTGATAGCGTTTTCCTGCTCAAGCGATAATTCAAGCTCGCCATGCTTGCCGGTTCCATACTTCTCAATCAGTTGTGACACATAGGACGTCCGGTGCGTTCCAGCCGCAAGTTGTCTCCGCACGAATTTAAAGGGTGCATCTGTCACCGTCTGGTTGACTTGGTTCCATTCTCGAGCTTGAGTTTTAAAGGAGGTGCCTGGAAATCCTTCTGGTAGGTGGTTCAAGATTGGAAGAATATCTACTATCCAAGCCAAGGGCACAAGCGCAAGTGACATATTATCCATCATACGCTCGACCAAGGAGACCAATGGATCATGGGTTCGTGGTTCAATTGCATAACCGTACGTGATTTTCAAGACAATAGCACTAGCTTCACTAAAACTAGGTCAATTCTGGTTCTTGGGTCCTTTGTCGCAAAGGACTCAGCCTTTGGATGCAAGAACGACTTACGTCTTAAAGTGATTTGTTAAATCTTCTGGTTTCTTTAGAACCCTCAGAAGCAAACGTCGCGATTCCAAATCTTGAACCTCATTGAATCGGGCCGACATGACTTTGGTACCAATTTGCTGGTGAAGTAACTTGCGGTGCCATCGATATGTTTCGTCGTACTGCCGGAAGGGCAAGAAATTCCCAAAGCCACATTGATTTGCAAAAAATGAAGAGGGTCTGAGAGAGGTCTTGAGAGATTTCTGCTCTAACAGATCATGCGCTGCCTTCTTGTCGTGCAACAGAATCATTTGCTGGCCAAGAATGGATACTGAGCTGATTGGGCCGTACATATCTTTGAACTTGATCCAATGCTGGTACTCTGGTATTCCTTGGGCAGGAAGATCTCTTATATTTCCAAACAGAGGAAGCGGTTTTGGCCCTGGTGGGAGGCCACTGGTAGCATTTCTTCGAAAGAATTGGCCGCATATTGCTAAGCTGAGGACAATAAGCCCAACAAGCAACGGAGTAAGGTTTTCCATCAGACTCATTAGTAGATAGGTACAGAGGGATAGCTGTTATGACAAGAGATAATTAGAAGGTAGAGAACAAATAATCAAAGATAAAGCACGAGAAGATCGCGATGCCTCATAATGCTTTGGATGTCGGGTGGGTGCGATCATGGCACATCTCGCTTATATACCCGGGGTTGAGATTCAGCACCGTCAGATCAGTTGCCTATCTTGTTGCATAACCCTGTTGGTTGTTTAGGCTTGAATATAAGCGATCACATGTGAGCAATTTGTAATAGCTCTATAATAACGGGTGCATGAATGCATACGGGGCGCGGCGATAAGGTGCTAAAGGCTAAACGAATAATAAGGAGCGGGTGATGTCTCGGAGCATTTCAGACACTCAACAAATCAAGGGACAGTCCAATACTCCCACTGTCACCTAATTTGCTGTCACCGGTGTGGGAACTGGAAGCGAACACCGCGCTAGAATCGAACACGTATCGTGTTTTGCCACAGAATCGGCTTTCGGCGTAAGCAAATTGAGACATACTTCTGCAATCATATCTCAACTGAGCAGTGATCTCCATGCAGTGCAACACAAAAAGCGCTAGCATTTCTAAAATATAACATATAATTATAAAAGACATTCAAAGTTAACGAAGAGGGAACTAACAATACTCCAGCATCTCTTCGGTCTCTTTGCTGATTTAGTGGTATAGGAGAGAGATGTACATTGTTACCGCCCTGGACACGATAATCGATCTCTCCGACGATGGATCTTGAACAGGTGAATGTCCATGAAAACCTAAGCAGGTCGCTAGGGAGGGACAATCTTTGGGACGAGGACCCTGGTTGAATATCTGGCGTCATCAATTCTGGTGAGAGTTTGAGTATAAAGTAAAAAAACAGCAATAGAAGATGGCAGGCCCGATATCTCAACACAATTAATACGAAAGGTAAAAAAAAAGCTTCGCTAGCCCAAGGCTCTAGTCATGCGGAAGGAAAACTCTATAAGCCTCCATTATATATAAGGAAAACCTTGTGGCGTCATCAACTCAGATATGAAAATCAGCGTAAGAAGCACGATGATCTATTAAATGACGCCGCAAATCCTTTAGTTCTAGACGTTTAAATCTACTGTGTAGCTAACACGAGACTTGCCCTTGCTCCTAGAAATTTTCCTCACCTTGGTCTCCCCGCATAAATCAGTAGTGTCAACATGTGTTCCTCCGCAAGGGTAAAGTTCGCCGCCAGTAATCTTGACGACTTGAAACTTCTCTCCCGGTGCTGCGAGGCCTGGATCGGGGATGAGCCTCTCCAGGCCATTCTTACGGAAATCATCCTCGTCCCAAAATTCCACTTCGACAGGCAATTTGGCCGCCACGAACTCGTCGACTTTCTTCTGTATGGGCTCCTTCCACTTGCCTTCGATGAGGCCCTGGAATTCGCAGGAAGCCGAATCCGGGAAGTGGAATGCCTTGAGCTCATCAAAACCGTCGATTTCGTTTTGCAGAAGGTGCCTGACAGCAGATCCGAGAACATGGCCTGCAGTGTGGAGGCGGGAGTAGTACAGTCGTTTTTCGACGTCGATTTCTTGGGTGATCGTATCGCCAGGTTTGAAGATACTGTCTTGGTCGCTTGAGGTGGTATCAGAAGACTCAAGGCGACCAAAATGCAAGACCTGACCGTCACGGACGGCATCCATCCTCGCCGATAGTACAGCGAATGTGCTCTGCGACGATTGCATTGTCATTGCGCCGACGTCGGATGGCTGACCCCACCCTGGGGATGGAAGATGGTCTGGTCGGTGATGATGGCAAAATCCCCATCACGGCCCTCTTTGAAGAGCTGCCGGTTGTCCTCTTCTAATCCGCTCCATGGATGGACTGAAACTACGGTCGCGGGGGCAGAAAATAATTTCGCGTTGCGCTGGAAGGAAAGTATTGTTCGTTTAGCCGCCATTTTTTTTGACGTGAATTTAGACGCAGGTTCAAGTATCAATTTCAAACAAACTGTGAATTAGTGGCTCATCATGCTAGGGTTATTTTGTATTTAGTGAGATTATCATTCTAAAGAGGCCTGTTATTAATCTAACCCTGCTATTATGTTTTTGAAGCTCAATTACTAAGGGGAAATGATGGACTAATAAACTGGCAATGCACTCCGTACCATCAATTTTTTAATTGATTTGAATACTAGATTCTCCCTCTCTTGGAAATATCTTGTCCGTATTTTTTGGGGCGTTGCTTCGGTGCGATTACTATCAAATTTTACCTACTCTTTTCGGAATTTCGAATTCAATAGAGAAGTTAGGAATCCTGGCGGATGCATCCCGCCCAGCAAAGACGACCGATAGACATGCTTGACCAGTAGTGCGGCCAACCGACTTAGTTGACCAGATAGATAGAGAAGTCCTCTTCTACTCCTCCTACTACTTACACGACTTGCAGGGTACTTAGATCGCATCGCAGGCATCATCACCACGAGTAAATGTGAAAAATTCTGTTAACACTGCCATTCTGAAGCTGTTACTCTCACGCCCAGGCACAGTGTTTGAGGGGGTAACAATATGGTAAACGATCTAGAAATATTTCTGCGGCAAGAGCCGCTATCAAGAGTCGGACTGGCTTGAAGGATTACCTCAATGACGTCGATATAATTTTCATGAATTTGTACTAGTTTGATCTCAGAGAAGTATCTGTCTCGTCAGAAACAGCCAGCTTATTGGCAAAGTTAACCGGCAGATTTTCTAGCCATATGGCTCTTCTTACAGTTGTGAGCTCCTCTTCTTAGCCGGTTTGCACTACCAGTTGTCCCGCACATCTTCTCGAAGACGGTACTTGTGCAAAGGGATAATCATCCAAATTATTGTACCCAATGCATCCATACCTCTGCACCACTGCATGATATCGTCGCTTGGGTCGCCCTTTTCGGCGCTCACAAAAGGTGCCACGAGCCTCGTTTCCATTAGGCTCTGTGTTATGAGCATTGCGTCACTTTCCTTGGTAGAGAGATACCGATCGTATTCTCTTATCCACCCGCTGATAGTAGGTGCTTCCCAAACATCCCGCACGCATGGAAGGGGCAGTAAACTTAGGGTGCCACAGTAATACGGTTCATCGTTTCCGGGGCGGCCAATCCCATCGAGGAACAGATCGATGGCCCCATAAACAGCCATGATCCTGCACTGTTGGTCAGAAGGTTTGGGAAGACAAGAAATGACTGCGAAATGAACTAGAACAGGGCAAATGAAGAGAAATGGAGCCTAAAACATACCTTCTGATAGATTCCCGGAATACCCATTCGTCCTGACTTGGCCGTAGTTTTGATGATTCGGAGTTCCAGTTGGAATACGGTAAGAGGCTGCGCAAAATGTTCTGACAATTGGGGTTAATCGAATGTGTGTCTTTTGGCTTCAAGAAAACCCAATAATGTAAAGAAAGGGGAATGTCAATAAGGGTTAATCGCACTTCGAACGTACCACTGAGGTCGCGAGTAGGTAGGCTACGTCATTTGTCTCGACTGTTTCTGGATCATCTGCCTGCAGAAGAAGAAATATCGTTAGGCATTGAACGGCTTCAAGCTTTCCCTGAGCATCTCCATGATAAGCCTGGAGTCTGTCAGTAATTTCATCTATAAAAATTGATTCCGAAGATACTATTACCTCTTTCCGTAGCCTCCTTGCCTCCATATAGATCATGTCCCAGACATACGATTTATTCGCCATCGTACATGTCTGAAACATTTCTACTAAACCTGCACAGATAGCGAGGTTTTTGGGAAGGCACTGATGGCCTCCACGAGCCGCACATTCGGGAGCCAGCTCCTCGTTTAGATGGCAGGGAGGCTTGATAAAAGGCGGGAGCCGATCGCCTCTGGTCATCATTTTAGGGAAACTAGTCAGCTGGCCCATTACGACAGCACTTAGAACACAGTCCGTGAGGATTCGTCTTCTTTTGAGGCATACGCGTTTCGAGGCATGACCTGACGGTATAAGCTGAGTATCTTGGCAACATTGTGAGGTGTCTGCAAGAGCAGGGCTAAGTGGTGATGCACCCGTGCTTGGAGAGCTATCGTCAGGCGGTGATTGTGTTTCGCCAACAGAAAAGGGGTGAGCGAATTGCCCAGAGTCTGCCCGAGCGAGGCTAGAATTTGGACTCGATAAATTTGTCGGAGGAAAATCAAACAATTCGGGCTCATCGACGGCGAGTTCCCAACTAAGCGTGTCCCCCGTACCCGAATCGAAATGATCAATATACAGGTCTTGATATGGGAGAGTGGAAGAGGTATTTCCGATATCAGCTAAGACATGTGAAAGTTCTTGTCTACTCTGCCCGCTTGAAATCGCTGCCGATCTGGGGTACGGCATCAAAAGGTTGGAGTCGCGGCCATCGTAAATGCACTGCGCGTCCTTCCTAGCGCATCGACCGCAGGCGGGCAAGGATCTATCGCAGCTTAGCTTGGATACTCGGCAGCGATTACAAGACTTCTTGCGAGAAAATGGCATCGTTTCTGACGGTCTTGTAAAGTCCGTAATGTTGATAGACTGGCATTGAATGAAGACATCACGGTTGAGATGTCCTGCCCACCAGCTCGCCGTCACCCGGAGTTCAAGTGGGTCGTCATGCTTACATTCACTGTCTTCATCCAATTGCTAATCCGATCGACATGAAGCCTCGGAGTTCAAGTGGGTCTTACTCGGACTTCGTCTTCTTGGTGACGCATGGGTCTAAACGCCATGCTATGTTGAAGATGGTTGATTTGTAAGGTCTCGGGCTCTTGGTAATACTTTCGGAGATGGATAGACTATGACAAGAAAAAGTCCGATAGTCGATGCAATATAAATACTCAAGTTTAGGAGGAAGGGAGGTGTTCGTGTGTTCAGCAGAAGCAATTTCCACCACACCAAACCAAGAAACACATCAACTATTTTGTCAAAAAGAAATGGCGCCGGTTCGTGTTGGTATCATCGGTCTGGGTCCCATTAGCAGCCCAGGTTACAAGGCTGGAGAATGGGGCATCCAGCATATGAATGCCATCTTGAGATCTCCCCATTATGAGCTTGTTGCCGTCTGCAACTCTACGATCGAGTCTGCCGAGAGGTCTATCAAATCCCATAAGCTGCCATCGACAGTGAAAGCTTATGGCTCCGCCAAAGATATTGCCAGCGATCCGGATGTTGAACTAGTCGATGTTGCTGTCAGCATTTCTCACCACTACGAGCTTGTTAAACAAGTTCTCCAGCAAAAGAAGAAAGTTTTGATCGAGTTTCCCGTAACACCAGATGTTGCGCAAACTGAGGAACTGGCTGCTATTGCCAAAAGTCACGGGATCGACGCAATTATTGGCGCCCAAGGTCGTGCTGATCCAGCTGTTAGAAAGCTCAAAGAGCTGGTCGACACCAAAGCTATTGGAGACATAGTCTACAGCTCATTCTCTGGCCAACTTGCCATGGTGGTCGATGATGGATGGCCGAAATCCCAAGCTGGGTTCTTAGACCTGACCGCTGGTATTAGCCGTATAAACATCGCCCTCGGACATCGTGAGAATAAGCCCGTTTGCTGATATTTGAAAACTCGATATCTAACATTTCTTTACAGCTATCGATACGTTTATTCATGTTTTAGGCGGCTTTGAAGCCATCCAGGCAGCGTTTAAGACCAGTGTAAAAGCCACGAAGCTGTTTGATGATCAAGGTAATGTCGTGGATCCTGCGTACAAGGTCACTGCGCCGGACATCATGCTTCTCCAGGGGGTCCTTGACGGCGGGGCTGTGGCATCATTCAACCTTCGCACTGCACGATCCACCGCTGATGATGTCGGCTTCCGTTGGACTATTACTGGAACCAAAGGAGAGGTGACGTTCACCAGCGGTCCTGGATTCTTTCAGATGGGCTTCAACGGCCCGAAAATTCTCCTTAAGAATTGGGGCAGCGAGGCTGAAGAGGTCGGCTTCGATGCCGAGGAACCCGAGTACTACGGTTCTATGAGCCCTTTGGGTTTGAACACTCTTCGACTCTATGAAGCATATGCCAGGGGAGAGACCGACGGATATTCCAACATTGAACAGACGTTGCGTACTGAGGAAGTTTTGGACAAGATCAAGAAGATTGCTATTTGGGCTCCATGAACTTCCAGGGTGGATAGCGTGCAGTTGGCAGAGGCATCCACTGGTTGAAGCTTGCTGGATTGACTTATCACTCATGAGAATTTCCTACTAAGATTAGACGAGGAGGAAATAGGGTCAATAACATGTCATTTTCCGATTGTAATCACTTTGGTTCAATCCACATCAAAAGACAACCACGCAAATCCTTTGACTGAGCAGGAAAAATCATTTAATAAACGGTATGTGAACAAGAGGCTACCATTTAAGATCAATTTTGTTTCAGATGGCCTTGCTGCCTCCATATCCCTCCGCGCCATTGCGCCAGGTGCCTATATGCCTCACACAATAGTATATGCCTCCCTAATACGCATAGTACAAGGTAGCCTCGGAGTCTGATTGTCTGATCTTTCTGTTTTCTCTGACCAGTATGAATCTCATTGCCCAAGCACCAAATACACACGCCAATGCCATTCCGGCACTCGTTGCCATAGGAAGGACAAACCGGGGCTCGGTCCAGGATGGCCAAAGATACTGCATAAATTAGTATGGGTTTCCAAATGAAAGGGAAAGTCAAAGCTTACTGGAGTCCAGATCAAACTCAGAGTAACGCTCACGTTGGCGATGGCGAGCGCCGAAGCCTTCTTCTCCTTGGTCTGACCACATGTGCTGCTCACCCAACCCAGGATGATTGAGTTGACGCCGTACGTTCCAATAGTGAAAACGCACATGGCAAAATAACGAGCACCTACGTTCATCGTGGCGCACCCAAGAACGAACCCAAAGATTGCCACAGCTTTGGCAATGGTAATGTGCCATGTACGTTCATTGAAGTGGCCTGAGGATGCTGCCCAAGCAATCGAAATAATACCCGCGATCAGATAGGGCGGGCAAGTAAGGACGAGCGTGATAGTGGTGTTGAAGCCAAGTGTCTTGACAATGGTTGGGAAAAAGTTCTTGAATCCACTATCCATGAGATATTAGCACTGCATTTCTCAAGATGACTGGACCCTACCGGGACAAGAAAGGACTCTTACTTTGTAGCAATGTGAAGATGCTGCATGTAAACAAAGACCCACACCTTAGGATCCTTTGCGGCCTCCTTAAGCCCTTGCCAGGCAGAGCCATTATTGGTCTGGCCAACAGTATCCCGGTTGACACGATCATAGGCAAGTTGACGCTCCTCTGGTGTAAGCCACCTTGTCGTAAGGGGCTCATCGGGAAGAATAAAGCACGCGGCAATAGCAACAAGGAAGGTTATGATACCTTGGATGATGAAGAGCCATTGCCAGCCGCTGATTCCATGTTTACCGTCAAGCTTGAATACTCCGGCAGCAATCAAGCCAGCAAAGGCAGACGCAAGAATGTTTCCAGAATAAAGCACGCTGATTCGTGTAGCAATCTCTTTCCTCGTGTAAAAGATGGAGAGAATGTACAATGCACCCCTATACCAAAACCCGAACACATTAGCCACAATACAATACACGTTTGGAAGCATTTAGAAGGCTATTACGGATAGTATGGCGCTTCCACAATACCGAGGAAGAATCGAGTAAGAATAAGGCCGGTGTAGTTCTTCGCAAGGGCTGTCAAGGCACTGACCACTGCCCACCCCATCATGCAGATACCCATATACAAACTTGGTCGTACACGAGTAATGAGCATATTGCTAGGTATTTGGCCCAGGACATATCCAACAAAAAGGATAGAAACGCCAGTGTTGTATTGTGTGCCCTTGAGACCCAGGTCTTCTTTAAAGTTGTTCAAAACTGCGAGAGTGATGGCGTTGCGGTCCAGATAGTTGAGCCAGTACATGAGCCACAGGATAGGCTGTTTGAAGTTAGATCTTGATAACATAGACTCAATTGGCTCGTCTTACCATGATCCATATGTCAAGTTTCCTCACCAGCTTAAGCTCAGCTGGATCAGACTTGGCAACCGCACCGGAATAGTCGCCTTCTGGCTTTTTGAGATCATCTTGAGGGGCATCCCGATTGATGGACTCGCGCTGCTCCACGTCCGCAACAGGCTGTTTCTCGTCTTTAGAAAAGTTCATGGCAAAGATGAATGAAAGTTGTTGGGATGTTGTGGATTGGTGGGAGTGAAGAGAAATATGGATGTGACAGCGGCAGGGTCATGCATATATATATGGACCAATTTCCTCCATTCCCCCGCAAATTTGACTCGATTATTTCCCCATATTCTGGGTCCCTTAGAGTTCCAACAGGCGGGGTGCGCTCATCTGGCTACCCCTGGCGAGGCTCCTAGCAGGTTCTCGGTGCTCGGCGCCGCCCAGCACAGCAACGGCGATTGTCCGAAAAGTAGTACATTAACGGGGTCGGCGTCCGATGCCGAGATCTGGCTCAATGCCCAAGGCAATCTAACACTCTGGACCGTCGATTTCGGGTTTTGACACAGAACGTACAATGCAGCTCTTCATCAACGCCCTAACACATTGGTTGAAATACAAAACATGCTTAGAGACATTTAGAAGGAGCCGCCGCTAACGGAATTTAAAATCAGTGGCTAACAGGGAGAAAAGTATCATCAAGGCCAAGATGGACATGACACTTCCTATGGCAACTACAGTTACCACAAGTTTTTACTGATTAAATTCAGAAAGGTCCTCGTTCTTATGAAAATTAAACGCCTTTCCGCAGAGTTTGGTGAGCTGAGGTAGTCTTTCTAATTACACCCCGAGTCTGAAGGCAGCTTGAGATAAATACCTTTTATTTATTCACAGAGTGATGCTCCGCCTAAGACTGACAGCAGGGTAGATATTTACGTTTGGCTTGTGCGCGCAGGTACTAACTATCATGTCAACGCTCTTATGAGAAAGGTCATTGCAAGCCGAAAGCCTGATATTGAGCTACCGACATATTAGGACACTTAGAGAACGAATAGTGCGAAAATGAATGAATGTAGTCTTGGCCTGAGATCATCAGCCAGATCCAAGTCAGAGTCCCTAAAGTCAAGGATTTCATGGAGCGTCACCCAAAGTTGCTCGCTGGAGCGTCCTTGGTCATGCCCAGTCAAAGACAACAGTTCCTCACAGCTACCTTGTGATTATATCAGACTTTGGGGTGGCTAGCACGTTACCCCTTCAGTTGACCAAGTATTGGCACCAACAACACATCAAACGGGAGTTGTAAACTGAAGTTCACTGAGACTGAGCATCCCGCGACTTCTGGGGTCATCCTTTCCATTTTCCGGGGTGGCAAACTCCTGTTAAACAAGCGCATGGGTGGCATTGTCTCTGTAGCCTAAGCAGTACGCCACAATCTTATTCATGGCTGGAATCCTGCAATCCTTAGTAGTTGCGTAACGCTAGGCTCCTACATAAAATCCTTGTAACGACTGAAGAAGAATCCAAGCGTGCCGAAAACTTTTCGAGAGCACATAATATGGGTAGAACGGGCAATGTACTGGGTAATCCGGGGCTTGGAGGCAAAAAATGACTCGAATCATGAGGATAATTCTGGTAGCCATAACCAGCACCCTGAGCTGTTGTATACCTAGCTAACATAGCTGAGGAAAGTGAAAATTGTAGCTCATAATCACATTTTTCATGTACGTAATATCTTTTATCGAACACTCTCGAAGATCAAATGGTGATGCAGGCTTCTGGTGTTGCCAGAGAGTTTTCAGTGTTTTGGAGATGGGGTGTTTGCTCGTTTCTAGCCCAGTTTTCTGCTGACAATCATCCAATATGCCACAACCAGCGCCCAAAATACTCCTGGCAAGCTCTCATTACGCGTTGCGCAACGCGCACCCTCAAACCACTCAGGCGCAAACCAACTTCAGGTTTCACTCGCCTTTTCCATCCGGTTCACCTTCTTCATGACCAACATCTGCGCAAGGGAAGAAACCCATTTCTCAGTCGACATACCACAAGCCTCGCAGTAGCCAATCCCTAGCTTTAATTCATACATCCTGATCATCTGGCCCCGAACCCTCTCAGGTCAAGGCCCAGGTCCAAAGGCAAGCAAGCATCCCGTTTCTTCGTTACCATATCACGAAACTTCTCAACTTACTAACCCATCCCTAGTTCCTACATTCACATCCTAGATCTCCTGACCTTTGAGATCTTAAGCCAAGATCTAGATCACTTAACCCGAAGCCTCGAGCCAACACCTAGGGTCCAAGGGTAAGTAATCATTCCGTTTTCTCGTTTCCGTACGATAGAGGGTCGCAACTTTTTAACTCGCCCCTCGTTCTATTATCAACAACCCAGATCACCTGGCCATGAAGCATCTAACCGAAGCGCAGAGCCCTCTACCTGAATCGCAGAATCTTCAGACCGAACCGCGGAACCCGGTGCTCAGCATGCCAGTCGCACGCAACGCAGTCGTGTATCGCGACTTGCACGGCACCCTAGAAAGGCCCAGCAAGCGGGAACGCGACTCTATTTTCCCTGTACCTTATTACGATGAAGAAGAGAATGAGAACAAAAGGCGAAAGAAAGATGATGAAGACGAGGTTGATGATGAAGAAGATGAGGTTGATGAAGAAGAAGATGAGGTTGATGAAGAAGAAGGCGAGGTTAATGATGAAGAAGAAGGCGAGGTTAATGATGAAGAAGATGAGTTTGATGAAGAAGAAGGTGAGGTTGATGATGAAGAAGGCGAGGGCGACCTTCTTGATGATGATGAAGACGAGGTTAATGATGAAGAAGATGAGTTTGATGAAGAAGAAGGTGAGGTTGATGATGAAGAAGGCGAGGGCGACCTTCTTGATGATGATGAAGACGAGGAATATCAGCCATGTGGCCATTCAGGTTCAGAGTATATGAGTGAGGAAGAAGGTGAGGCGCCGGGAGACAACCGCGAGAATCCAGCATCTAACGACCGTACGGATGCATTTGAGGCGAAGTTGGAGAAGCTCACGCTCGACCATGAGACATTCAAGCTCAACTATGGGACACTCAAACTCGACCATGAGAAGCTCAAACTCAACTATGAGAAACTCAAACTCCACCATGAGACGCTCAAACTAAACTATGAGATGCTTAAACTCAACTACGAGAGCCACAAAGAGAAAACCAAGGTTCGCCTCGGAGGATTGGTTGGCCGCGTGTCGCAGGGCACCAGAGCCACCAATTGGGTATTTGGCAGACTCCGCGCAACCACGAAGACGGCGGATGCCGCCGCCACAGTCGCCAAAAGCCTCTAGAGGGATCTGCGCGAACAGGAATCTATGCCGCGGCCTACTCGCTCGCCTGCGGTTGTCACTGTCGCCTCCTTTGGAAATGCCGATGCCAACCCTGCGTATTGGGCTGAGTAGACGGCGTGATCGAGAGGTGTCGGTGGCTCAAGCAACAAGTTCTCGCGTTCGGAAATCCAGAGTTTTCCACCGACAAATTAGTTGCAACCGCCTGCCGAGAGCCACTAAGCAGGAAGAAGAATCTTTACCCATAGAGCCGGGAATCTTTATTGAGGGGTCGCCATTTAAGAATTAGGCATCGTCGTTCGGTCTTGGGGAATACTCACACATGGGAACACCATTTAGGAACCGGAAACCGGAAATGATTGCTCACAGACTATTCAAAGCTTAGAGAGAATTATTAGATAGTCTAAAAAATCAAAAGTCAGGGATACCACGTCAAAAAGAGAATTAATCTGCGCTGACTCCTTTGACGCAAGCTCCATTTGGGCGGGCTCGGTGTCCGACGCCGAGCCCTGACTCAATGCCCTGAGGCAATCTAACACCCTGGGTTGTCAATTTCGGGCTCTGGGTCTTGACTTTGATAAAATCTTGGCATACTCAGTCATCAATTGAGTGACTACGGTGTGGTGTCAGGGACTCCGCTCTTCATAAGTATTTGAGTACACACATACCAACAGGGGGTTAATTCTTGCGGCTTCTCATTCGTCATATTTCTTCTCCTTAATCCAGTTTCCTCACGAGCAAGTATTGGCGATGTTGCAAAAGGCCCCCATTAGGATCGGAAATGTATCTGGCGCCACCGGCGACCACCCGCATGCGATGCTTCGCATGGTCCGGTCAGGCAATGTAGATGTCATCACGGGCGATTGGCTCTCGGAAATGAACATTGCCTGGAACGCCATCACCAAGCAAGAAGTCGATCCCAACCTCGGCTACGAGAATGGTTTCTTTGAGCAGCTGGAGGAATGCCTTGATGGCATAATGGAGAGAAATATCAGAGTCGTCACAAATGCCGGAGCGCTCAACACGGAGATGCTGTACCGGAAAGTGCAGAAGCTTTGCCAAGATCGAGGCTATGGCGACTCCGTCGTGGCAGCTGTGCTTGGGGATGACGTGTCCGATATCGTCATGGCGGAGGGCGGCAAGGCCCTACCTATCTCACACCTAGATCATCCCGATCAAAGTCTTTCTGACTGGGGGTTTTCACCCTGTTGCGCTACGGCTTACATCGGCTGTTGGGGTATTGTTGAGGCACTCCGCGCTGGTGCTCAGATTGTCATATGCGGACGCTGCACGGACGCCTCGCCTGTAATGGGTGCCGCGGCATGGTATCACAGTTGGAGAGAGGATCAGTATGAGGAGCTTGCAGGCTCGCTACTTGCCGCCCATCTTATAGAATGCGGCCCATACGTCGTGGGGGCAAACTTCTCGGGCTTCAAGTCATTCCTTCAAGACCTCGTCGACTTGGCTTTCCCCATTGCGGAGATCGATGGTACGGGCCGGTGCAAGATCAGCAGGACAGAGGAAGGAGGGGGTCATGTGACGAAAAATACAGTGATAGCACAACTTCTGTACGAGCTTCAAGGCCACCTCTACCTGAACCCTGATGTCGTGGCGGACCTTTCGGGCGTCTCCGTCGAGACCGTGGCAGAAAATTGTATCTCTGTCTCCGGTGTCCGGGGGCTCCCGCCGCCTTCTACTACAAAAGTCATGATAGCGGCCAAGGGGGGATTCCAGGCAGAGGCTACTTTCTACATCAATGGGCTAGATGTGCAAGAAAAAGCGGACATGATGCGTAGGCAGCTTGAAAATGCTTATAAGAACAGCAACTTTAGCCGCCTCAGCATTGAGCTGTACGGCACTCCCGCGTCCAATCCACAGTCACAGCAAGAAGGTACCGTCTTCTTGCGTGTTTTCGCCCAGGCCCGGAGAATCGAGGATATTTCAATCCACAAATTCAAAATACCCATTTATGCATTGAGAATGCAGAGTTACCCTGGCTATCATATGAATCTGGATTTCAGAACCATGGAGCCCAAACCATTCATGGAGATGTTTCCCGCCCTGATGCCTATCACGGCCATCAACCATCGCGTCGAGATGAGTAACGGAACTACTTGCAAAATCAAGCCTCCGAGCCATACACAGACGTACCCCGTAATACGTCCTTCCTCTGACGCATTGCACCCAGCTGATCTTCTAAGCTTCGGGCCTACAAAATTCACCGCTCTGGGGACCATTGTTCATGGGCGATCCGGCGACAAGGGAGACAACTCGAACGTTGGCTTTTTCGTGCGCAATGAGGATGAGTACGAGTGGCTCCGCTCACTACTTTCGGTGGCCACATTTAAGAAGCTATTGGGGAATGATTGGTTCAAGGGGAACACGGATCGACGGGTTGAGCGAGTAGAATTCCCTGGCATCCTGGCCGTTCACTTGTAAGTTCAACCATTTCCAAGTCGTTTTTACAACACTAATACAGTAACAACAGTCGTGTACTTGACAACCTAAACGGTGGCATCGCTTCGTCAGATCGTGTGGATGGTCTAGGTAAAGGTGTAGCAGAATACCTTCGGTCTAAATATGTCGACATTCCCCTCTTATTTCTTGAACGAGGAAGCATCTAAATAGAATTGTACAGTCATAGAACAAATAGAAGAGTGCGGGTATGTAGGCTTGGATTGTTGACTTCGTCTCATCTCTCGATATTCGCCGTCTCGATACCCGTCGGCAGAAAATTGTCCCCAAGTCCTAGAAACCATTCCTGAGACAGCTGTGAGAGGGCATCGTTGTGATATTCGTCGAGAGCCATGTCTCGCAAATCACCAAAGCAATCCCTGAACGTATCATCAACTTGAATATGAGCATATTGCGTGTTGGTATCTACATCGTAGTAGTTTGCCGGCAGCTGCAAGGAAGGACTCGTAGTCTCCGTTGTCGCACTTCTGACCAGCGAGGAGGTGGAATCATCCGTCTCTACATGTTGTGCGATGGGAGGAGGTATCCGAGATGCCTCGAAAATATCAGATAACACGGCATCGCTCAATCTATCAAAAAGGTCGGAGCAGTCCTTGGCAGCATCCCACCGCTCAGCGACGGCTACCAGGACCTTGGAGCATGATCGAGTGTCATTCACCACCTGGCTGCTCGTTGGATCTGGATTCAGCCGAGCGCCTGGCCTACTTTGCATTACCGAAGACTGCACTGCTTGTATATGATTTCGCAAGGCGTAAATGTAAGACAACCCAGCGTTGAAGACTGAATGCATCGTGATCCATGAGTAGTTCAACTTCTTTGACCTATGCAGACTCGCATAAAGATGAATTGATTCGCGGGAGGAATCAAATATTCGCTGCAGACTAAGACTGTTCGTAGAGGCATCGCAGAGACAAGGCGAAGGTCGATAGAGCATCAGGATCGCATTGTGATACAACAAGCTGTACCATTCACCCGATTTGAAACTGGATGTCTTGAAACAGCTACTGTTCCCCCGGGCATCCAACTCCGCCAGCGGGAGATGGGCAGCATCGGCATTCCAGCCGTCCAGCTCTTCGTTCAAATTCTGCCGGCTGTGCTCGAAACTAGAATTGTTTAGTTGGGCTCTCTTAGGGCTCCGATAGAGCGCATTGAGTATTTTGCCACAGATGAGGCGGTATTTAACTATATGAATGAAGACTGCAGTGCTCTCCAGATGATCAGGGGTATCGAGAGGCGAGGCCGGGGTTGGATAATTTTGAAGCAACCCGGAGTTCGAGATATCTGGCAAATCTACGTCAATGTCCTCTAGTTGGATAGCGAGAGGTCTTCCCAGGGCGATGCTCGCTACCCTATCTAATGCGACAAGGCTCCAGAAGCACCTTTGTTTCATCACCATAGACTCTGCTTGTTGAGCCTGCATGTTGTGACTTTGATGAGCGCTTTCAGGCTGCGCATATGTCATTGCGCGGTGCAAGCCCATCTCTGAGCACATTCGAGCAGCCACCCCAATGAGATGCCAAACACTTGCAGTGGTATTCCTGGACGTGGAACCCATGCGGTACTGGCAAACAAAGAGTAATGCTTGAAGACGCACAATTCCCCCCTGTGCCATGACGTCTTCGAGCTTCATCATGGCACGATTATAGTGAATCTCGGCATCATACACCCCACTCCAATTGTATTTGTGGACTTGAGCCGTGCCAATCGCTAAGACGATGTCGACAATGAATTCGTCAGATGCCGTACTTTGAGCCGTAGGGCTGTATACAGTGTCGAACGACTGCTGCAGCTTTTCGAGCGAGGAAAACGGGTAGCAGAGATAATCATGGTTACAGTATGCCTGGATCAGGTTCCGTGCCAGATTCTTTGGTGGTCGTGCTGGCAATACTTCTGGTGACGGTATGCCTTGCGAAGGATTAGTGTTCCAGTTCCGCCTGGGTTGCGCTGCAGAACCGGGCTCTTGACAAGTTTGAAGCAGGTTTGCGAGAAGGATCCCGCTAGCTGAGCCGACAAAGTGATCGCTCCCTCCAGCTATCAAAGACATGTGCATCACCTGCTCTGTCACCGCCCCATTGCCTGATCCAAGAGTAGGCGTGGCTTGCAATGGTCCCAGGGGCGTCGTATGTTCCTGGATAGGGGTCGCTGAGGTGGGATCTTCACGGCACAATGAACCATTTTGCCGCAGCTGCGAGGATAGAGACGCGTTCTCTAGCTCCAAATGCTGAATTCGCCGCTCAAGCTTTTGTAGATTTCGCCGTCGGATCTGATGCTCGCTCGTCGAATATTCACAGGCAACATTAGCCCGCACACAGGGGGAGCATTTTGGAGCTGTCTTGTCACATCGTACTTTTCGCCTGTGACATCTTTCGCATGCCGAAGAATGCATAATAATCAATCCACAATGTGCCCCAGACTGTTTCACGCAGCCTGTGCCAAGTTTGGTCGTTCTCAACAAATATTGTGCATGAACGCGTTTTCGGTCTCGGAGGCCGGCGCCGTCGCCGTCTTATGAATTTCTCCTGGGGTAACTCCACGTTCTGGAGCTGGAGCGGATAAACATTGTTTTCAAGCGGGGTAGCGGTATGAGCAAGCTTACGAGTTTATTTCTTTCTAGGCCAAAGTAGGCAGGTGAAAACGCCTTCGGAACAAGTCTACAGTCCACTCCCGCAATCCGCATTTGAAATCACAACTAAAGTTTTCCGGCGGCTCTTATTATCGTCCATGAATTTGATCTGTCGGCTGTTTTGACAAGGCATGCACTAAGATTGGATTCGGGCCTGTTAAAGCGTTTTCATATCTCGTTTCTTGAGTGCACAATGCCTACATGTAGTTGATGTGGTCTAGACAACTCAACGAGCACAGATGATGACAAACAAATTGTAGTATACAAGTCATTTGGTAAAGATTTCAGTAGATTCTCTACAAAACCTCTATAGCCTGCGACAATCACAATATTATTTTAGCCTGCTATATCTGGCTCACGATCTTAATTTTCCTAGGAACCTAGGTAGAGTGAAAAGGCTGCAGCTGGGGATGTGGGTATAGGGTAACTTAGCTGTAACAAGCACTTTGTACCAAGTCGGATTATGTACTCTTAATCAGCTAGCGTTTGATTGGCTGCATGCCCTTGCTTCAGCTCCACAAGGCATTGAGCAGTGAGATTAGTCAGGACAGGCATCACCCGTGACGCGAAGGAGTTCAACTCACGGGATATATCACGTGATAACCTTCCGAGCATGGTCGACATACAATTGGTTGCCTTTTTTATGTAAATAATGTGCGAATTATGAAAGTGAGTGCATAGTACTCGTTGAGGTGTGTACTGGTATTGTTAATTCACAAGGTATTCCGGGCAGAATGCGCGACTTGTGCATTTCAACCCGCGAGGAATAGAAAATCTTGTTAACGTCATTACTTAGAGAGAAGACGAACAGGGCGATGGACGACGGGCGACGTGGTGTGCTATAGGACATCTCTAACGATCGAAAAATGGCAGGAATGGGAGATGGGCACTGACGATGAAAACTAATTCGCACCCCGACACAGAGCTTCGTATGTAGCCATAGCGTTCAACTTTCTTGTTGATATCGATGCTGTTATCATTTCAGAATGCGAAGCAAGTCCTGCGGGGGAATGTGAAAGTGGCTGAATAAGTAATAAGTTTCGCTCTATAACCTCCCGATTGTACTCCATATATTTCTCTTAAATCAGGTATACGCTTTATTCAAAACTAAGTGATACATAATACGTCTTAATCTCTCCCTCAAAACTGAATTATTCAAGTGGGTGGGACATTCAAACAACCTTATCTTCGAACTCTGGAAACAAATTTCGACAGATCTGTCGCTTCGCCTCAACTTAACAGGCGGATTGAAAGGTCCCTCTTTGCATATTATGTGGTCTTAAAACCTCAATCACCACAGATGATTGGCGCCTAATGCCACACCGACGTCTGCGGCAACAAGCTTATGAATCGCGATGCCGGGGTGGTAGTTATTATACCAAAGCTTTTAAAGAGTTTTAGTAAAGCCGGGATAGACAATTTTACTAAGGGGCATGTCACTTACACATGATTTACCATCCGACTTGTAGCACTTGGCGTCGGGTGCGCCGTACTTTTCTGGGGCATCTATTGCCTTGTTGAAGGGTTTGTGGGTATCTATCAAGACGGCATCGATGTCCTTGTGAGCAGCCTTGAACTTGGCCAAGTGTTCAGCCAAGTGGTTGTTATACCAGCGGATATTGTCTGTCGGCTTATTCTTTAGCCCCATCAGCTTGGGTGTCTTGTCGGTCGCTGTTGTTTGGGTATTCTCTCAGGTCAGCTAATCTAGAAGCTTTGATTTTCGTCGAAGGACAAATTCAAACTTACGCGGAACTGAGAGCAGGAAGAAGTTACGAATACCCGCGCTGTAGAGGTACTCAAGGTGTTCGAAGTACATATCAACTGACTCCCTGATCACTGCAGTGGCGTTGTTCAGAGTGTAAGAGCGTCCAATATCGTTAATTCCTATCCAAACACCAACAAGAGAGTTGTCTGCGTTCCATGGTGCCCAGCTAGGCTTACTGGCGAGGTGCTTCTTGAAGCTCTGGATTTGATCTGTGAAGGTTCGCACATCCGTTCTAAAGGGGGTTATGATGCTGGAATCGACAACCGCGCCACCATCTGCAAAGTTATATGCATATGTGACTGTGTTCTTCTTATTGAACTGGGTAATAAGCCACCCAAGCCAATTATGACCTCCAGAGGAAGTTGATCCTGGGAAACTGGGATTTCCTATGACATTGTTTGCGTTGGGCTTGGCACCATTGATGTTGAACTCCGTTTTCGTGTACGAGTCGCCACTGGGGGACAGTTATAAGCAGGCCGAAGATACACTCTATCCGTTTTCCCTTGCCAAGAAACTTACAATGTGAACATGTATCTCGTGTCCTTGGCTGTGCCAAATGACACCAAGGGCACTGCCGCCAACAGCAAGGAGATGATCTTCATTGTTCGATAGAGATTATACAGAAGAGGCACCAGGAGCAAGCCTTGAGGATGAACTGGTGGTTAACAAAGCCAAACAGGCTTATCAAATGGGTGGCCTGTGTATTTATGCTCTTTCATCGGCAGGTTTGATCTTTGGTGTCTTGCGTCGATCCAGGGAGTCGAGGAAGTCCACGCTAAAGTAAGATTAAGCTAAAAATAAGGCCTCTTACGACCCGTTTGACGCGATGCAACTAGTGTTATTCGACAGTTTCTGAACTCCAGGATCAAGGGACTCATAGAACTAAAGTACAATTATGATTGCCACAGGTGGGTTCTTCTATTCATGACCGCGTTGTATTAGGAAGGTCCCCGCGTTATAGGTAGGAAGAGCCATAGAAGATATGAAAATGAATAAATAACGGCACGTCTGAACATACAACCCATTGGAAGTGAATGAAAAATGCGCCACCTATTCAATACTCCACCGTCCAAAGTACATCCTTCCATGCTTGATTGGGCAGATGCCGGATACGCTAATCTCAGCACGTTTCTATTATTAGAATTGAGCGCTCTCGAGGAAATGCCGAACCAGAAACATTAAAATGAAGGTGGCAACCAGTGGGAGTGCAATTTTCTCTTCTGGTCTAAGGCTTGAACTCGGGCGCAGGTAACCTTAGATGTGGCTCAATGTTAATGCTACAACAGGTAGTCAAATGAACCAAATTTTAAGGCGCAGCACCTCATTGGAATGGTGATCCGTCTCTATCAAATGAACACCTTCATTCTTGATACTGACCCGATTTAGCCTGTTCCTGCAATAGCATTATAGAAAGAATAGAGGGCAAACATATCGTGAATGCCTATCCATTGCTCGCTCATTGAGCAAAGATGAACAGGTGATGGGCATTTTCCGGGTCATCTAAACTTGGCAATCGCCGGCTTCTAATTTTAGGTCCTCACTTGATCTGGTACTACCTAGGTATCTTTCATAAATCTCCGCTTAGAAGTAGCTGCTTATTTAGATATTTAGGTGTTTATTTAGGTGTTTATTGAGGTGTTTATTTAGGCGTGACATTTCCTGTGTCACCCACTTGACTATTATGTCAATTTGCTAGGGTTATGCCAGCCGTCACTTTGATAAAAATGCTTGACACTCTGAGCTTTTCCGGCCCATCATCCAACCAATCAGCTTTTCCAGCCTCGATGAGGCTTCCACGCTCATTGATTTATCATGTGTTTCGGCCTTCTCCTCCGGTATTTGTCATCTGGGCGTTAATTCTGATGTTGCATTTCCATAAATCAATATGAACGACGGGATCAAACGGCTGCCCTTTTGGGTCCAAGTTGCCTGTGACCATTGTAATCCCATGGTCCTTGGCTTTACAAATAGAAGAGCATTTGAGTTTTTCTTTCCAGAATAGCTCATCCTTGGCGTTCTGTTCTGGGATGTCAGGTGATGGGAATTAGCTCCAGGCTTATTTACTATGCTCTTCTTGATTATGGAGGATCAAGAGACCAATATTCTGAAAGGCTAATATTTGAAGGCCGTAATCAAATACTCACATAGTTTTAACAAGGAATAACTCTTAACTTTTAAATTCGCTACTATACTATACGTTAATGAAATTCTACGATTAACAAACGACACATCAAAGATCCTATTAAATGAAGGCATTCGCGCTGCTCCATGCCCGCATTAGTCTGGTAACTGACAATTCCAGAGATCATAGAGTCCTCAACATCCTCTACTCAATCAATGCCCCGCGGACGATTTACTAAGTCAAGATATAAACACAATGTATCCAAATGCATGCAATTGCCATCTGGAAACTATTTTTTTCTTTTTGGAAAATGAAGCCACCTTTGTCAGAACCTCCTCGCAGACTTAGCAAGGACTAAGTGGTCTGCCTCTACCGTCTAGTCATAATCGCACAGCAGCCGCGTTATTGCAGCGCTCAAGGTCAAATGATACTGAAATTCTTGCTCAAGTCTTCATGAAATAGTTTAACATGTTCTCCTGGAGATTCAACAAAGCGGAATCTAAGACTTTTGGGAACTCTGACGTGGGCCTGGGTGGGTGGTGATCTCAGAGCTAAGACTACTTTCGCTTTCGCACTCCTCGTTATCTAAGTTTACCTATATATCGGCGCCTTAGTATTAGGCCTTTACATTTATAGTAGGCTTTCTTATAAATAGGATGATATAATATTAACTGCCTCTATATATAGGTTAAAAGTAGATACATACTCTATGTAGCCTTAGAGTATCACTCTTTAGATAAATAAAGGATAAATATTCAAATGTGAAAAGGTCAATACACTATATATTCTTCCTAGTCTATACCTATATAGAGTTGGTATTTATCTTATGCTGCCTTCAGGCTCGATCTTGACACCACGCACTGGCACGGTGTGAAGCGTCTCTGGATTCCGAAGCCCAGCCTAGCCACTAGCTCACTACTCAATTTTCTCTGTTGCAATCTGTCATCGTTTGCACTGACTATACCGAAATTTGAACTAGCTACCTCTCGCGACACCCGTTTGTCCTAACAAATGGTGTAGACAGGCATTCTCGCTGGGATGTATGCGCCCGGGCTGGGCAGGTCAGGAAAGCTGTCACGTGACACGAAGGCCCCACTATTTGGCCAGGCACCCATGCAGCCACAAGCTGAGGAACTCACCCAATTCAACATCTGTGGTACCGAAGCTACCTGACTGCTTGGCCCGCGCATCGCTTGATTATTGTGTTTCGTTGCTAATTATCACTGTTCTGCTTCTCTTCAAACGTCTCTCGTGCCTTTCGATCCGTTACACCCGCTCGACGTCATCATTCCTTCCTTCCTTCCTGGAAGCTGGGACACGCAACAAACTGCCAGACCTCAGACTTTGGAGCAGCACTTTTGGATTTAGACCAATTCATTCGGTCCCGACAAATTGATTCCTCTTCGAACTCAGATCCAGTCGACAAACCTCGCAATTTTAATCCCGTTTCTGCAAGGCAAGCGCACTTTGTCGCCGTTGTTTACACCTTCCTCGCCCTCCAGCCAACCGAAGAATGTCGTCTCACAGACTCTTTGAAAGCCCTTGCCAACAACACCAATGCGATGGTGAACTCTCAAGATATCAGATTCAATCGGGAACACCACGCGCAATTCAAAACAGCAGATTCCAGTAAGCGACACAAGACACTGCGAGGAAATGACAATGGATCTAAATAAATATTGGATGGTAAGCACTCTGGGGTCCCCAGCATTGGCAGTTGGCTAATATGCATGGTAGCAGCAAAGTTCACAGCCGTTTCCAAAGCCTCTGCCTTTCCTCGCGTCCAGGATGCCGATAATTGCTCCGAACATAGCGATTCAGGTTCTATAGTAGTGATGATACACAGCCAGATTTCAATTGCGACAATTCTGAATTAGACTCTGACTGCGACAATTCTGAAGCGGAACTTGAAAGCGACAGCCTAGAACCAGGACCTGAAAACTCGTCATCAAAACCCGACCGGGAAGCAGTGCGTTGGGTGCCAGGCAGAATCCCACTTGAAGAAGTTCCTCCAGACCCAGAGTGTGGCACCCGCGTCGCTGCAAGATTAACTTGGGTCCACGAGCCCGACACTCGATCTGTCCCTGAGACCGAGTTCGTGTCCAACGTCCGGTACAAAATGAGCCAACATCGTCACCGAAAGGACGACCGCCTGCCTGGTGCTTCTAAGCCGCAGTAGACGGTGCAATTGATCAGCTGGTTCCTTGCCTCGAAACGACAATGGAGATTGCCGGCAACAAGAAACTGCGCCGTCACTGTGATTAATCTGGTGCTCTAATCTCCTGGACGGATGAGAGTTCGAGTATAAAGTTCCAAACAGCAACGAAAGATGCTAGACTCGACATCTCAACACAATGAATACCATCTCAGCACAATGAATACCATCTCAGCACAATGACTACCATCTCACACAATAACTACCATCTCACACAATGACTACCATCTCACACAATGACTACCATCTCACACAATGACTACACAAGGTTAAAAAAAACCTTTGCTAGCCTAAGGCTTCAGTCATACGGAATGAAAACTCTAGAAACCTTCATACCGATGACTCACCTGCCGTCAAGATGATCCGCTCATCAAATCACTATTTAAACTACCCTCTTTCACCTAGGTTCCCATCTAACACCAATCCAAACACTTCAACACACCAATCTCAAGGATATCAACCAACCTGGTGAGTACCAGTAGCCCCTTGGCCAGAGCATTTACACTGATACGTGAGCAGCCTTCGCTATGTATCCCGACGATAAGGACCATGCCAGACACCCGCATCTTAGCGCCTTCTCTCAAAGGCCACAAGATCATCTGGACTGATGAGATAAAGCCGAAAATAGGCACAAGCGACCTAAAGTATGCTAGTTGTGCAAAGGCTACACTAATCAGCCAGCTGAATCAGACTGATTACCTCAATCAAACTACACAGTTTGAAGACCTCAAGAAAGAGCAGCAGCTAATACAGCTGAATAATCTGTCTATGGCGCAATTTTTGGCCTTGTTCAGCCTTGGCCAGGATATCCTTGGGCGTGTGCCTAAGCATGCACTTTACGCTAACGCTATCTCGGCATTGAAGAGCAGCAAGAGGTTCTGATCTCCTGGACACCTGGACTTAGGTCGATGTCGCTCGAAGCTATATATCCATTCATCTCTCGCAGCTCTACTCTCGGATATCATATGTTCCCAAATGTCTGCATCGTCGCCTCGTGTCTAGACTGGACCAGACGGAGTCTTCCCCCTGTTTCCCTGGCCCTTGTGGCCTGTTGGTTCCGCACATATGACAGCCTAGCCCCAGACTTCCAAGTTCAAAAGGGTAAGATGCTCTGGCTGTACAACGCAATATGCAACGCTTCAACGATGAGCTCTGTCTTCTCCTGTTGGGGCGATTCGAAGAGAAAGTCTGCAAAATGGGCACTCTAGGATATGGAGACACAGAAAGCGGATGAGAGTTCGAGTATAAGGTAAAAAAACAGCAATGGAAGATGCCAGACACAACATCTCAACACAATGAATACGAAAGGCAAATAATAGGCTCTACTAGCTTAAGGCTGATGCCATGCAGAAGGAAATATCTGTAAACCTTCATACCTATGACTCACTTGCCGTCGGCACGAGCCGCTCGTCAAATCACTATTTAATCTACCCTCTTTCACTTAGCTTCGTTCGTTCGTTTTCTATCCTTCACCCACAAGGAAAAGAATCAGCCACGGTCGATTATCATTATTGGCGTCGGCACTTACACACCAAGCTCGAGGCTTTTCAGCAACCCAAGGAGGAGCAATAGCTCCTTGGCCAGAGCACTTACACTGAGACCTAAAAAGCAGTTCTCGAAACCTTGCGCACCGGGAGCAGAACCGACGTCCTCGCCAAGGCCTTGAACCAATATCCCACACAGAAACTCTTCTGCGTCAATGGTTCCTCTCCAAATTACAAATCAGTTTCTCACGATGAACGTCTCATATGGAACAAAATTTACGAGAACATGAAACGACTTGCTTTGAGGATGGGACTATCAGTCGACGAATTCGAATACCAGTGTAGTATTCCTGCTCCAGGGCAGAAGAAGGGCCGAGTCTTCTACCCACTTTACATTCTGTCGAAACTACAGGCGATTTCTTCCCGCTGGGACTGGAACCATGTCTTTGATTACGCCAAGAGGAGCCTTGCGACCATGAACGTAAGAGAAAGAGAATACAGTTCAACAGCAATGGAAGCTGCCAGAGCCCGACAATTCAACACAATGAATATGGAAGCTTAAAAAAAGGCCTTTGCTAGCCCAAGGCTGCAGTCATGCGGAAAGAAAAGTCTGCAAACCTTCATACCGATGACTCACTTGCCGTCAGGACGAGCGGCTCGTCGAATGACTATTAAAGCTACCTTCTTTCACCTGGCTTCCTTCGTACACTGATGACACAAAGAGGGGAAGGGATCAGAGGAGATAGCATTCATGGAAATGCTCTTAAGCTTTTGAAACACAACGGAAGACGACGATGAACAACGCGTGTAGTAGACACGCCAAAACTCACGGCCTGACTGAGACACATGTGGATGATGTAATGTTCATCTATTGGATCGCGGCAATATTCATTGAAATGATCCTCAAAGCCAAGGCAAGGCGTCCGGCGGCGACAAGAGAAGAGATTGCTTTCGGAATTCTCGACGCGTGGGATTGTTTTATTGTCCCTTGGATGGGAAATATCTTCAGAGCCTCAGTTTGCCAAGCCAAGGACCACGGGCTTACCATGGTTACAGGAATTCTGGACCCGGAAGGGCAGCCATTTGATCCCGTCGCCCATATCGATCTCAGCAAATGCAACATCAGAATCGACGCACAGATGACAAACATGGCTATGTTCAACTACATTCCCGAGCTGTGGCTAGACCTGAGAGAAAATCTAAAGCGAGTTCCACAAAATTATCTATTCTGGAGAATCGACCCTGCCATGGGAAATGTGTTGTGGGGAGGAAAATCTGATGCCACAATTATCCCAGAGCCACCCACCCCGGATTTCGAAATGCAGTTATGGCCGATTGATATCTGGTTCCAGGCCGACACTCCACAACTCCTGTCAAACGAATGTCAAACTTGCGGCCAAGCCTTTCAGAATATTGGTCTCTTGATCATACATAATCAAGACGAGCATAGTAAACAAGCCTGGAGCTAATTCCCATCGTCTGATATCCCGGAACAGAACGCTAAAGATGAGCTATTCTAGAAAGAAAAACTCAAATGCCCTTACTGTTTTAAGATATATAGAAATTGGAACGCCTTAACCACTCATCCGCATATGAAACATCAAGACAAGAAGCCATATCCGTATCGATGCGATTGGCCCGAATGTGGATTGGGATTTCTGCTTGAAAAGGATCTCACCATACACAAGCACAGCCATATCTTCGATTACTCCGTTCAGATTTTGAAATGTGAGTTCCTGGGTTACATCGAGGAATTCCAATCGCAGACGGATTCGGTCCTAGAAACCAACAAAATAGAACTACACGTCCTATTGGGTGTTGCCATCATTCGATGACTAGCAATGTTCGGCCATCCGGCCAAGGACTTTCGATGAACACCAGAAGATTCATGAAAAATCTCACCCGGTTGCTTTCGATTGGCAAGAGCCAAAATGTACTCGCCGATTTACGAAAGCCGAAGATCTTCGCGCGCATATAAAAATCCATATAGTACCGGCCACGATCCGCTGCGAAGCTGAAGGATGCAACCATCTATTCCGGGACAACAAGTCGGCAAATTTCCACTACAAGACCGCCCATGGGGATAAGTTAATATGTGAAGAGGCCGAATGCGGAAAACCCTTCGCTTCAAAATACAGCCTTGAAAGACATATCCAAATGTACCACCGAGATTTCAAGAAGTTCAAATGCGAGTGGCCCGGCTGTGACCAAGAGTGTATTTCTCAGAAGGATCTTCAAAATCACTTCGCAACTCATACAGGGCAGAAGAAGCACCCATGCCCGGAAGCTGGATGCCCGAAGAGTTTTGGGCAACGAGGACATCTGGAGGACCACATTGCATATGCCCACAGAGGAGAGAAAAACTATATATGCCAAACATGCAATATGGATTTTGCAAACAAACGCGGCCTCGTCAGACACCAGAAAAAATTCAATCACTGATCGGAATATCAGATTCGCGATATATAATTGGTGCTAATTACAAGCTGGATGAGGGAGATTCAGGGAGCTGACAGGTCTATCCATTTTGCTGGGGGAGTTTCAGATAGGAGAAAACCCAAGATGTCACACACACAGGAGAGATCAATTGAATGAATTCTGGGCAAAACAGAATTGATTGACGGGATGATGATGATGCTAAGATAATTGTTGTGTGGCTGGAAGCCCGGAGGCCTCTTGGCTAACTAGCTAACACCATGAAAAGTGCGATAGGCCCACCACAACTAAAACGACCGATTCACGAATACCTTACCAAAATGAGTGGTAAATACTGGTGGTAATTACAGTTTCGATAGGAGGGATCCAGCGAATTCAATCGCATTCGTACAGTATTTACTCTTCCATTTGTATTTTAGCCTTGAGAAAATTGCACGCCATGGATTCCATTTCGCTTAGTGCAGCTCTGGTTTTCGGTGGATTACGGTTATATACTTTGGTCCCGATGTCCAGGAGATGAATAATCAAATCCCAGCGCGGTTTACCTCGTGGTATTCTTATAAGAAACTTCCATTGCGACTTCCAAGCAGGGAACCAGTTATTAATAGCCTCGTCAATTGCGATCCTGGGAGGGAAGGTGGCCGTCCTCTCGGTACCTACCTACAGGCGGGTGGAGTTTATTGTGTTGAGATGTCTAGTCTTGCATCTTCCATTCCCGTTTTTGACTGTATACTCGGATTCTCACACCGTCTAGGCGGGTGGATGCTGTGTGTAGACAACGACGTGGACAGAAATCTTGAACGGCGTGGGGCTACACCATGTTCAATGTATACTCGCCACTCGTATGCAGTCATATCCATATGATGTTCTTTTAAGCCCACAATTTTGAATACCCCCGCAACTTTCATTCATGTTTAACATAAATTTTTCTAAAGACGAGAAACAGCTTATTGCGGGCATAGAGCAGCGTAAATGCCTTCATCTAATGGGATCTTTAATACAGTATTTATTGATAGTATAATTTCATCAACTTATAGTATAGTAGTGAATTTAAACGTTGAGAGTTATTCTATATTAAAACGCATGTGAGTATCTGATTACGGCCTTCAAATATTAGTTAAAAGCTTCAGGCTTATCCAAGCTCAGCTGCCAGGAAAGTGGACGGGCATATCCGTAGATATGTAGCGGTGATGTTAGGGCGATAGTTCCGTTAAGGCGAAAAGTTGGCCTCCGATGCAGACGATATCTGACGAAGAGGTTCTTTGCCCTGCGAGGTAACGAGTTGTATGATTATTGGCTGCGATACTACCTGGACCAAAAACACAACTCGTCTCAGCCAGTTTTAGGTTGCGCTCCTGATGTTCGACAAGCATCGATTTAGGAAGGCATTGAGGCTATCACCGGATAAACAGCGCCAAATTCAACATGGATGCGTGGTGCGACATCACGTTTGCTAATTCTTTCTTGCCATCGCGAGATCGAAATTGTAGGGGTCTTATCAGCTCATCATGCTTGCCAAGCTTGTACCTAGCGCGCTTGTGGAAGGTGACTTCGTGCTCCCTAGAAGTGATTGCCCTGTGTCTTTCGTTATAGGAAGTTCTCAAATAATCAACGCAAAAGAGGGGAATCTGGTACGTGACAAAGCTTGGCAATTGCAACGGTACTTAAGAAGATGCATTGCTTAAGAAGCCACCTGCCCGCCAAATGGATGCCACTTCCGTTTCGACTTCATCCTTTCGCCATGTTTTGCATCCGAAGTTTCGTTCTCATTCTTGGGAGCGCCTATATTGCTCTGGGGCAATATTGTGAGCACCAGTGGGAAGGGGAGTTTTCAGAGCATGATATTGATGGCGTCCCTTTTCTTCAAGCAGTGGATAGCCAAGCTGCTCCGCCACTTGAAATCCGGCCCCTGATCATCAGTGGCCCATCCAGCAACCGTGTCGACCTTATCTTTTTTGGTGATGGATGTAGGTTTACAAGTCGAATGATGAGCACGGGATATGAGCTTACTTTAGGACACCTGCAGACACTACAGCAGAAAAGGACAAATTCTTCGACGATGCCTTATTCTTGGCCACGAATCTCACGGATGGCCAAACATTCTCTGACGTGCTGCCACTTGTGAATTGGTGGGCAGGCTTCTCTGCCAGTACTGAGGTACGAAATAGCTGAAATCGCAACCCAACATGGAAATCTTGACTGACGTTCTCACTAGAGCGGTATTGGGGTTGGAGGAAAGCCCAAAGAGTGAGAAATCACTTAGCTCTTTTCCATTCTCAAGAATGCTAACGAGAGGAAAATAGCACTGTTTACGGTCTTTATCGTGATGGAACGGAGCTTAGGGGCGTGTATTACCAGAAGCCCGAAGTCGCACGTGCTGCCTGTCAGTCAACGGATGCCTGTGATTACCCTATTCTTCTCGGAAATGATCCATTCTATGGGGGACTAGGTGGGACATTCACGTAAGAGGCATCACCTAAGTAAAAGGCGCGGAATATGTTGAACTAATGCTCTCAAAGTGTCACCACATCCTCGCCTGCTAACGGGCCCGCTGTACTCCGCCATGAGCTGGGACACTCGATTATCGGTGTCGGGGAGGAATACGACGGGGGCCAGGTCTACCGCGGAGTCAACTCTGCACGAACACCAACAGCCGTGCCCTGGACTCATTGGTACAGTAACCCGTCGACTGAGCCCAAGATCCAGCGATCGAACATGCCAATCCAGGCATACCCCTGGACGCTGCTAAACACTACCCAAGCCTGGAGCCGGACATTCACTTCAGCTGGTTCCTATGACAGCTATCTGCTTCAATTTAGTGTGAGTGGTGTGACGGCAAGCACTGATCTGCGCGTTGAGATTGATGGGAAGGACCTGGGATGGGAAGTCAATCCTGTTGTCGGCCTGGACCGCTGGATTTACAACATGAACTTCGATGACAACCTGTCGCCTGGAGCCCACCAGATTAAATTCACTCTATTGAATCAAGAACTACAGGGCTCTGCGCAGCTCTGCAATCTTGAGATTATAGAATATGGCGAGAATGATGCTGAGTAGGTTGCATTGGTGATATGAGAAGCTACGATTCCTGCTAACTTGAAGTCAGGTTTAATTTCGAGCCTGAGTTCCACGGAATCTTCCCGACGTGAGTCCATAAAGCATCACCTAGTTTGTTCGTTGTTGACCAAGCCTAGATACTCATCCACAAATGCTACTACTTACCGCCCAACGAACGACCTTTGTCTAATGCGAACGATGCACTCTCCGGATTTTTGCCAGCCCTGTATCGAAGGCCTATGGATCTCACTCCTTCGCAATCTCGCGCTCATCGACAATGTCACCCAAGTTGCTGACGGGAGTGGTTCTACGAACGTCACACTGGATCTTCTGCCTCTTGCACAGTTTAGAGAGCACCCAAGAACCACTGAATCCTATATTATAAGCTGGATCGCCCCCAACGGTACAACCTTGAGCCAATGGGACAATAAGACCAGTGCACTGCTTGGAAATGATATTGCACAAGTCGATGTGGATATCCAGTTTTCCACTACGCAGGTCAGAGTAGACGAAGCAGGAGTGCTCAAACATCGGGAGACCATCCAGTTGCAATGAGTTGATTCAACAAGTATTGGCTTCTGTCTGATATAATAGTAGAAAGGGCATATATGTTGGACAATGGTATTTCATTGCATTCTCTACGAAGCTATCAATTGTCGGATTTCCTCCCATAGGCCCTTGAATTGCCTTAACAGAATCGAATCAGGAATAAATGCCCCTTCTATGACTTGATAGCAAGCTTCCCAATCTCGAATATGCATGGCTCGAAATATATTTGCTAATTTATCAACGTACCAGCTTCTAAGACTTGGCTGTGAAGCTGCGGCCACCCCACCGACAAAATATTGCCAGACGGTCAAGCTTGTTGACCCACAGAGTGTTACTCGGGGCTCGCTTAAAGCATCCTGTAATCTTTTTGCGCAAGATGCATGATCCACGTATCCGGTTGATGGCCATGATAATTGTAAGAATAAACTGATTGCTCTGGATACCGAGGCGATGTAAGCGATGCTGCTGTTGAGGAGAGGTCTGAGTTCCTCTTGGACGTTGGAAATAGCTGCCTCAATATTTTTGGTGGCTGATGTAGACGAAGAAGGAGATGAAACAAAGTCTTCGATATTCTGTCGAATCTGGTGTAACTGGTGTGAGACGTGAGAAATGGCTCCTAATGTTCGAGCATCTTTCTTTCGTAGAGCTGCAACAATGCGTTCTTTGCGGACGGGCTTCGAGGGGATGACTTCCTGAACGGAGTCACTAGAAAGGCTGGCTTAGCAAGGATGACGTCGGGTAGTATTTTCTCTCTCTCCACGTACTAGAGTAGCAGATCCAAAAACCAAGAAGGAATTTGGTATAGACCCTTTTCTCTTCGTTGATTGATCATTTGTGATAAGCCATTGAGATGTATCTCCAAAGTAGCTTCATTCTTTGATAGACGCTTTACTTCAGGTTAACAAAACGACATTACTGAGATGAATCATGGATGACATACTTCACCGAAGGTCAAGACGAATACAGCTCCGATTACTCCATCTGAGAGGCCCTGACCACTGCTTAAACGTGAATTGACCATGGCCAAAGCCTTGCCTAAATGGACACAGGCCTGCCGTTTTTGTGTCCAACATGCTCCGCTAGGCCAATGCTCGAGTGCAACGTACATGCAAGCTTCTACGAGTGCCGGCTCGGAGCGAAGCAAGGTAATCCATTCAAATTCAGAAGGAGAACTGTTAGCCCCTGTTTGTGCCGGGAAAACTAGTGGGCGGAATTCATGGAGCACTGAAAGTGTCAGCGGGTGAAGTGCAAGAAGCGCCGTCTATAGTTACAGAATCGGATCGAATGATCAGGGTCTGCCGGGAGGCAAAAGACTTGTGGAGAAATTTTTGGCTCCGGTAACGCCACGCATACGTCCTTGATAGAGCCAGCTCGTTCTTGGGCCGTGGTGGTATATCCTTTACGTCTCTTCAGTCTTTCGATAGCGAGCCTCTGTCGCCGCTGTTTGAAATTGACCTTTGTGACGTGGGCTCGAGCTTCTCTCGCGTTGGATAAGCTGAGACTGGGGGCACCTGTCGTATTTAGAAACGTCAAAGACATCGTTTTTATCACATTCGAAGAATTGATGATCAATTTTCATCAACATGTGTAACGTTGGTGCGTGAGTGAAATCCCACTGATTGCGCTTCGGAATGTCGGAAGCTTGATCTTGATGCTAATCTGACTTTTCCGTATTGGGCAAACAAGAAATCTTGGCATTTCTCCACATCTGACTACCGACTGCAGGTACTTGACCTCTAGATCCCGCCTTAGGCATCTGGTAGTTAACATACCGATGATTGCTGTCAATCCTCGACATTTCTGCTCATGGCCACCGATTTTCTGACTGTAGTAGAGTACCTATATAGGTCAAAATAGCACTAAGATGAAAGAGGAAAATGCGTTGTGACGTATCGTGGTGACACCGCCCAAGTGGATGCCGCGAAGCCGAGCCAACCTTGGCTCTCATACCATTATAAATATCAAGACATCCTGGAAAGTGATGTATGGCTCTTCTGTTATCATCACAAAGTATTTTTTGATCTTGGAACTATTTTCTGTTCTCGAATTTCACCGCAATGACCCCTTTTAAGACCCAGCTATCCGGAGCCCACGTCCTTGTGACAGGTAAGTCCTCGCGTTCAACCAACAGGACACTAGGGAAAAAAAACAATGAATCTAAACTTTATGCTTCAGGTGGAAATAAAGGTATTGGGAGGGTTATTGTCGAATCCTTTCTTGCCGAAGGCGCCAACGTTTCTTATTGTTCACGATCCGCTAGCGAAGATGATTTCGCCGCCTTCCACGGTGCAATTGAAGGCGCCAAGGTATTGGGAACAAAAGTAGATGTCGGAAATCAAGAAGAAGCCCGGGCCTGGGTAGAAAGTTCTGCGGAAAAGTATGGAAGAATCGACGTGGTAGTTGCCAACGGTAAGTGGTGTTATTTCGGGTAACAGGGGAACCAAGTTGAGCTAACTCGAGCGGTGCACAGCGTATGCCATTTTCCCTTCGTCTTCTATTGATGACTGGCAGCAAAGCTTGGAAGGAAACGTCATTGGGCTCGTCACACTAATCGAGACGGCGACCCCCCATCTTGTCGCACGTGAAGGAACTGGCTCCCTGATTGTTTTGAGCTCTGTTGCTGGGTTCGAGCTCCGTTCATCTAACCCTACAGGTCCACAGTCAGTGGTAAAGCGTTCACAGGCAATAATCGCCAAAAGCTATTCCAAGGTGCTTGGGCAGAAGGGAGTGCGTGTCAATACTGTGACCCCTGGGCTTGTGGAAACGCCAAACCTCGTTCGAGCGGATGGCACCGAACAGCTTAGTTCTTATCAGTTAGGAAAAAAGTTAAAGCCGGAATTCATGCGCAGCATCTTAGATCAAGTCCCTTTGGGAAGACCAGGACAGCCGCAAGAGGTAGCCAATGCCGTGGTATTCCTCGCGAGTGCTCTTTCTGGCTACATTAATGGGGCAAACCTGCTGGTTGACGGGGGATTCACAGTCACTCTATAAGACTCGGATACAGAATACGATTCTAGTATCATTTTTCATTGAGAAAGTTCATTTTCCAGTTCAGATTTATTTCCTCCGCCGTCGCGTAAACAGTATCTACAAGCGAGATATCTACAAATAAAATGAAAGTGAACAAGCTCGTCAATGCTACTTTATGGTTGTGTGAAATCTGGTTAATATAATGAAACCACATTAAATTACGGTGCACGAGATACTGATGAACATCAATCAGGACTAATCGCTTAAGGATCCAAGATTGCATTTCTATTTTAACATTTGATAGAAGCTATGTATTGTCTTCGTGATACCTACTGGCCCATAGCCTCGCAATACGTCTGTGTATCAGTGCAGAAACGATAGAGGACCGTCATGCACAAACAGCCATTTATCCAGAATTTGTCAAATCGTTGATTACCGGAAGGGAAGCTCAGAGAAAGGTTACTAGGTTGATTGTTTTGATATTGTGTCTATTACTAGGTAGCTAAATTCGACGCTACAAGTTATCACTGTAGGAATATTTAGAGAGAAGAACAGGCTTCACTGGCCAACTGATTTTGTCTTTGGTGGCTACTTGTGCCCACTGTAGTCGCCATGGCACTTGTTTGCTTTGAACGGGAACTTTTAGCAGTGGAACTTTATCCTTGTTTGAGATATATATATTTCCTGGGCACCACTTGACAGGGTTGACTTGCTACTGTATGCGCGTTTAAACGTATTTGACCTTGCCGTCACAAGTCTGGAGAAACCTGTTCAGACTCAGCGTTTTCAGAACAGTGCTGAATTTGGAAATATCAGTTCCTGCGAGATCAAAGCTGCAGTACTGGACCAATTGCGAGGTCCTGAGTACAGTCGGGGTGGCACTATCGCCACCGGGGTACTCGATGTGGAAGACAGGCTTGCCAGCCTTGATAAAGGGCAAGTAGGTGCTGCATTCTGCGTACTCAGCACATTGCTCGTTAATTTCGAATTGGACAACGTCAAGCACGGATGAGATAATGCTGCCACCATTCTTAAGACCAATGGCAAGACCAGCGGCGCTCGCGGCAGGGGCTAAAACGTTTCTCATGAAGTTGATGGAATCCTGCCTCGTCATTCCCATCCCATTAACATTTTCCTGGATTTCATAGATCATTAGTCTTGGTTTCAATTATCAGCTTGGGACTTTACTTACATAGGCATCCATATTATCAGGGTCAATAGCGTCGCACCCAGCCCTTGCAGCAAGGGCAATACGCTTCCGCATGATGCTAGCAACATTAGGACTCCTGAGGTTAAGCCAATACTCCCCAGCCCAGCCATCAAGAGGTGAGCCCCAATCACCCCACTTAAAACTCCCAACATCAGGTCGCCAGCTCTCGTACGAACCAGCGCTGAAGTAGCAGATAACTTTCTTGCCAGCCTTGTGTAAGGCGTCAATCTTGGTAGTGTCTAGTTTGTTCACGTCAAGAGTGTTTCCGGTGTTGTCGAAAAGATCAAAGTCGAATATATCAGCAGATACTGTAGCGATATTGACGTCGCCGAGGAGGTTGATATCCCATTTTGCGCCAACTGCAGGTTGCCAAACAGTCGGAGCGCCCGGCGCGCAAGTGGCCAGACATCCGAAGAGAGCACATGCTAGAGAGAGACGAAGCTTCAGGGACATGATGGAGTAAGGAGAATGGGCCAAATGAGTACGCGATGATACAAATCTGATATCGAGGACAAAGGTGCATCAACTAGAAGCAAAAACGTTGATGAAAAGAGAATTTATCTATGCATTTGCTATCCTGCCACTTTTGGACACGCAGGAGGCACAAATGTCTCACGCAGTCCAAATACAGTGGCGTGTGACCAATGTGATCATGATGCGATATACACGAGGGAGTGTACATGAATGGAGTTGAGTGATATGTGGCAGTGCTTCATTTGTATGGGTCTCAATGGGTGGAAAGTCCACTGTCCTGTTCTCAAAAGAGATCTAGAAACCCGATCATGATATCGGAATTTACGACCGACTGATTGTAGCGGCAAACACCGGCATGAACGTCTTGATTATGAGAAGGTCATGACCCATTTGTCGCATTCCAAGAAACGCACCCCCGAAACAAACAACATACGAATGAAATCTCCCTTCGATCGCTAATCCGTCATACCTATGTGGAAATGCATACCTAAAAATTGTCATGGAGTCACTGCAGGCAGAATCCCGCGAAGTGTCTTTGGTGATTCAGAAACGAGGCGACACTATCACTGGAAGTAATTAGCCATATATAGTCAAAGTATAGATAAAACTAAGGCCATAGCTATCGACGACATCCTGAAAATGGTACTTCTAATTTGAGCAAACATAAAGGTGGGCATGAGATTGAGATCGGACATAAACGTTGAGTGTTTGAGACATATGAGGCCAGATGCTCCTTTTTACTATGATCTAGCCTTATTCTTTTGCGCCACAACTATCAAATTCCTGGGTGAGACTTTAGCGTCAAAGATGGGGAAAACTTCCACTTGTTCTAGCCCCTGTTCCTCGAGATACCAGTACCGGTCCAGAGCAATCACGCTCTCCACAACCTTACAGCAAAGAACACTAAGTGTCCACAAGATCGCGATCCTCCCTTCGTAGTTTCGGTATTTCTCTTCATATTTCTTTAGATCCTCGGTCGTAATCTCTGCGCGGCTGATGCCTAAACAGTCCATGGCCCTGTGTGCGAAGTGGGTGAAGTCAGTCATGTCGCTTTTGCGAATACCCCAGGCGGGTCGTTGTTCAGCAGCGACTTTGATTCCTTTATCGAACAGAGCCTTTTCTAGGATTGCTCGATATAGCCTCCGCCTACTGAATATGCTGTTGCCTTTGGTTGCCAGTTGGACGTCTGGCCTTTCCCAATTGCTTGGGGCTTGGCAAGCCGTCATCAGTGCCGTGGCACTTAGGGTGAGGTTGTGCTTTCTCAAAGTCGAGCTGGTGGGAAACCCTTCAGGATAACTGGGGGAGCGAGGGATAATATGGTTGTAGCAGCATCCAATGACCCCCAATGTCTCAATGCAGGACATTGATGTAAAATATCTCAGCATGTGATCCGACAGGTTTCCGCAAGCGTGAAGACCAACCAACATGCACTTTTGTCCGTCTGCCCAATCTTCGATCCTTTGCGCAAGATTCGAAGATCCGTCGATCCAATGTACTAAATGCACCAATCTGCTCTCTGGTATCCCTATTGAAGTGGCGAATTCCTGTGAACCAACAATTTGCGAGTCACTGCCATCGATGGCCAGGATTTTCAACTGTGGGAATAGATATGCAAGGCTGACGGAGAGATAGCCTTGACCGGATCCCATATCAACCACCCGAGTAATTCCTTTTCGCTGACAGATATCATGCACATATGCAGCCGCTTTCGAGATCTCGGCAACTTTCTTTGTCTTCATGCGGCGTGTCAGAGCATCTGGAAGCTCAGCCGACGGCCCTTCGCGTTCACCGCGAGGGAGCGCAAGCGAGTTCAGCTTCTGCAGCCAACTGACCAAAGCCTCTGGTCGGCTATGCAAAAGCTCGCCATGACCTTCGTCGGACTCGGTCGTCATAAACTCCGCTCTGTCCTCGATGCTATCAAGCAGGTCCTGTTGCAAATGGCGATGATCGGTCCAAGACGACCAGTATCTTGTCCAATCTTGGGGCAAGCTCTCCCAGGCCTCATAGATAAGAGAATCATTCACATGAATGCCTCCAGTAATCTGTTGGATGAGTGGTGTTGAGATGAATTCGCATAGATCATTGGTGTACTTCTTTGGGTCTGTGTAGCGGTTTGGGAGCACCAACATTTCAACTACTAAGCAGAGATATCAGCTTTCTGTCAATTGTCTATTTGCGTGGTGGCTTACTTCTGTTTTCGCCTACAGGAAGATTTACTGGGCTGCGTATGCTTTGGACGGAGTGGACGAAAAAAGCTCAAGGCGTACTTCGTGGGTGTGCATGCTTGCCCCACAAAGGCACAGTGGTATTTTTTCGCCCGAAAGCAGAGGGCTAGTTAGATAATCAAGAGTGGATGAATAGCGTGTAATAATTGTCAGCAGAATGCGACTCGTTTTTTCTCCTCATCTGACTGGTGACATGGTGCGGAAGCTGCTCTTGGATAAAGTTTATTTGCCGCTACTTTCTAACCTGATCGAATTCAAATTACCCAATTCTCATTGCCTCAGATGGGGCTGCTTTGCAATCTTATCCCGCCGACTGGAATCAAAATCACTGACACTCCTGTCCTTTTAGTTTTCTCTTGGGATGACGAGTCTCTGTTTACGTACCATGAAGACCGGGTTGCAATCCTATGGGATGTGTCTCGGGTTGCACCAGCCCAAAGGCTAGAGCTTGGACCTGGGACTCTAATTGCTGCTGCCTTCACATCGACACCCATCAAACACCTGGTTCTGACATATGGTCCGGACCATCCCACTCAGCAGTTCCGCATCGTCGACGCTTGCGCTGTGCCATACACCCCTCAAAGTTTTCTCTATCCCAATGCTACAATCGTCAAGTCTTCTCCAGACGGGACTATGCTAGCTTTCGCAACAGCCCACACCGTAGAGGTCCGCGCGGTAGGATCAGGACAGCATATCCGCACTATAGACTTGCTGAGAGAAGCTGTTTCATTGGAATTTTCACGAGATTCAACGTATCTGGCAATGGCAGACACCCAGGGAAAGCTGACTATTGTCGAATTGTTCGGGGATGAGGTGCTGCAATCAACTCTGGGGAAGATCATAAGCGATTACACAACGTCTATCCGACCGTGCCGATTCGATACGGAACCAGGGTGGATTCCCGTTGATATAGTGTGGCATTCAAAGCGTTTCGGCATCTATGTCACTTCTCAGAAAGAGTTCAGCCCCGGCGAACCGTCATACCGCCTCATGTGGTGGTTCCCTCGTTCGGAAAAGTTAGACATGCCATTAACTCCGGATCCTTCTGGTTCAGTGCGTTATAAGGATGCTCGTCTAGCCCCTAGCCACGGTTTCTTTGCTTGTGTTACTACAGACCATGATTTGGTCCTGCGGGACATTAACCTCACGATGGGGTATAGCGTGGGATTGAAAGGACGTGCTACAGCCTGCTCTGTATCAACAAGTAGTAGCCGGGTTGCATTTTCATGCTCGAATGGTCGTTTGGGAGTTTGGCATGTAGGCCAACCTCAATTTGGCTGCCAAGGGGGTTGAGCATTCTATCAACTAATCAGTATCGACATTCTCACATCTGTGGCTTAGTCTAGGTCTGCACTAAATGACCAAGTTTCACTCTCCCTCGCGATTCTCCTCATTTCTCTGCAACTAGTGGCTGGGACGAATCCAAACGCGAACGGAGTACCCACGGCCTTAGCTGTGGCCTTTTTTTGTTGTCCGAGGGCGTGGCATAGTTTATCGCGTATTTCTTTTGTTCCTAGGAGCCTTGTGATAAGAGACATGCGTTACTTGATGAAGAAGGTCAAGGATGTGCGCGGGCTGATCCGCGTTCATCCCTTTCCCTTTCCCTTTCCCTTTTCTTGCCCCTCTCTATCTTACACGTGAAAGGAACGCGGAAGAAAAAGTAAACATACCTAAAATAGGCACTTTTGATTAGCCAGGTTGAACAGACCTTTAGTTATGCATCAAATACTGACTGGCTTTTTACATACCTACTTGCCTAAGCAAATGCCAAAGTAGCGCTATCAAGCAACCAAACCGACTTCAACATATTTGATTTAGTCGATCCGCTTTGGTTGACTTCTGAAGATCGACTTAATCCCTGCTTAATGCCTAGAAGATGAAATATCCAATAGATACGGATTACTGCTAGGGCTACCTTGGGTAGGTAAAGTGAAGTCTACAAGGGCCTCCTGAGACCTACCCTGCGTAATGACAATGGCACCCGAGAAATTCGGCCAGATATCCTCATACTACCACGAGTAGCAAGCTCATCACAAACTCTAGCTTTGTTTAATAAGAGATAAACCCTCGATTCATTTTCTCTGGCATCACTGTTTTGGTTGACTAGGAGGCACGGTACTGGCCGCAGACATTGAGCATGAGCCAGTATCTCGGCTCTCAGCAAGTCGTCAAGCACGACAACCACCAATTCAACTACCTCTCTAGCCCACTTGCATGAGCAAGCCTTGATCCATCCGACCTACCTAACCTCTAGCACATGACTGAAATCGGTGAAGGTCTTCAAGGTGCTATCTTTAAATACCTTACCTTAGGTTGGAAAAGCGTTGGTCATCAAATATTTAAATACCAGGTACTTGTATTTACTAATTTCTAAAAATTAATAAAATAATAACCTATTGATTTTAAAGTTTAGTCCTTATAATTAAATTTCTATTTTCCTCTTCCAAGGATAAACAAATAGGTGGGGGAAGGGAGTGGGGCCAAATTCTGACTTGACGAGCCGGACCCGCCGGATAATCTTGTTGTCTCCAGTCTCATCTTTTGCTTCGCTTCTCAGGAGGCGGCTCATATCGTCGGCAGCTATGGCTGAGCGCCAGACATTACAGCTTCAAGATCGCGCGCGGATCATCGCGGACTATCCAATTGGCAATAGACTGACCGCACTCCGCGCTTCATTCGCTGCAAACTCTGATCAACAAGTCCAGGCTCACTCTTTTCAAAGTCTGCTTGCCCGCCAAGGTATGTCTACATCTCAAGAGAATACCCTGTCCTATCTCAACAGCCTGACTGACGAATGCGATCAATAGATCTGCAACACCTCACTCTGGAGCTCTTGGTCACGCTTAGCAATCTACCAGCCGCACGCCATCTTTCCTCAAGGGATGGTCAAGCGACGCTCGCCAATGGCTTATTGAAACTGATCGCCGACGTGAGCTCTGACGTCTCTATTGTCGGATCGATCGTATCTCTCCTGAGCATTGCCCTCGACGCTTCTTGCAAGGACGAGGAGATTTGGGACAAAGTCTATGCTATACTGCCTGCTCTGCAGAACTCGAAGCCTAGTGCAGCGCAAACCACCACCTCTGGAGTCGCGGTTCTACCCCAGCGCCGATCCGCGGAAAGACCACAGAAAAACGAACCAAGCACCCGGCGCATGCGACAGCTTCGTCCCAGTTACGTTTCCAGCCACGAAACGACGCCTCGGCTGAGCAACAGGGGAGGGAAGAGGTACAAAGTTGACATCGCCTGCGACCCTTGTCGCCTTCGGAAGGTCAAATGTGATGGGATTCGCCCAGGTAATGGCCATTCGTTGTTTTCGGTATACACTCAAGTTCTTATTCTAACCGAAGGCACTGGTAGTATGTGGCGCTTGCATGAAGAGCAAAAGGGTTAGGGCAACATGCCAATACAACCGAGGCAACGAGGAACCCAATTTCAGGGAGAGGGACGAGGATCTAGCCAACGACTCATTCCACCTGGACCTCATGCCAGAAGAAAAATCCTCTGATTCTGGACAACAAGACTTCACCCCTCTCGTTCTTCCCAATATTGGAACGCAGCCCTTAATGGCTGTTTCTAGCGGCACAAGCCTCAGTGGCGCTCAGAATAATATTGGAATTGTCGAGATATATCAAGAGCAACTACATGAGTATGGGATCTCGAGTATGAAGGTTTTCTTTGAGCGCCTGAGGGCGTCCATCGATGCACAGCTTGGTATACCGGCTGATGGTAATCCGTTCAAAATCCCATTAACAGACGCACCAATGTTTTTGGCACCGAGCTCTAATCCAGGACTAACGGCTCAGAAAGAGAGTGACTTGGTGCTACCTTCACGCAAGAATGCTGATGTGCTTGTTGATATATATTGGTCGCGCCTGCATCCAATTGAACCGGTCTTGGACCGCAGGCAATTTGACTCTCTTTACAACGCTTTGTACTTAGGAAGTATAGGTGATAGCGCTAAACGTCTTTTCGGTTGTACTTTCAACGCCGTGCTCGCACTGGCCACGCAATGCCAAGAACACATCGATCTTGAACAGAGACAGCAGACGAGCAAGATGTATTTTGATCGTGCCTGGTTTATTATTCGACCAGGCCAAGAATTATGGGAGAGTCCATCTCTCGAACTGGTTGAGTGCCTGCTCCTCATGTGCAACTATCTTCGTTGTACCACTAATGCCCACCAAGCTTGGATGGCCATGGGCGCTGCCGTTCGTGTTGCTCAAAGCCTTGGGCTACACTTACTCGGAAACCCCCCTAATAACGATGCTTTTAATGCTAGGCGGATACAATTATGGCGTATATGCATCTTCCATGATAAGTAAGTACAGAAACCACCCATCAATGAGCATCAGTTAACAACTTCCAGGCAGATGTCATTGGCGCAAGGTCGCCCGAGAACCATCAACGACTGTTTTGTCAATGCCATTCTAGAGTACAACGATACCTCTCAGGAAGATGAAGCAACATCTGCCTTCATCATAAAATCCATTGAACTCTTTCAGAGCGTCACGTCGATAAAATCAAGCTTACCGAAGGCGTACCATGGGCGGCCGGCACGAGGCATCGAACAGCTTGCACACAAGGACGATGAGTATCTTCATATGGTTCTTAGGCTCGAGGACCGTCTAGTCGATTGGGAGCAAAACCTCCCGCTAATTCTAAGGTACACAAGCGGCTTAGCAAGCCAGAGAAGTAAGAATTCGGCGCTCACAGCGACCTTCAAGCTGAGGTGTGTGATATATTTTCCATCCCCATAAAGATTTGATCTCTTGTTTCCAACTTCGCAGATGATTCTGTACCGCGGAGAAATTCCTGTTATCGGTCTCTAATGAAGATTTAGACTCGCTCACAACCGGATCTTTATTTTTCGGCCGATGCTGGCCTACCTCTGTTTATCCAAATCTCACCACGACCTACAAACTCTCTCCAATGACACGTTGAGGCAGCAGATCATTCGTAATTGCGCCTCGGTGTGTATTAGAAATGCTCAAGAGATTATATCTATACTTCAAGAACAATGCCACCCGGAAATACTTAACAATGCCCCCATTCCGTGGTGGCATCGGATGCTCTACCTGCACGTGGCCGCCACGACTCTCATCGCTGCCACGCTGAGCGGCGATATAGCGGCAGAGTTTCAAACTTCGGCATCTTTGGATCAACTCGTCTCTCTTCTTCATGCTCATGAACACTGCACCGATTATATCTCACAGTATTCGCAGGCTTTTGGAACTCTTCTAGCCAAAGTCTCAAGCATCCGCTTTGAGCCGTCTGGTTCGATGCTACCAACATCCGAATCACTCCCACCTACACCATATCTACAGGAGCTCTTCCCTGGTAACACTACTTTCCCTTTTGGATTGGAGGATATACTCTATCTAGATAATCTATAATAATCAATATTCTATGCGAGAAAATACATGAAGAAGGGAAAGATATCGGTTGACAATGGCCATTCTATATTTACACAAACAGGAAATATTTGTATGCCTTACGAGGATGAGCATCTCGGGTACTGAGAATCTTCCCATACTTCTCTTAGTCCGTCTCTTGAAGCCTTGCCAGGATTATGGCAGCCTCCTTGGCATATTTGCACTTCATTCGTATCTCCGGCCCCTTTTTGATGAGCCAGAATGGGAATGGCATGCATAGCAAGGTTAAAAATGCTGGAATTGAACTTGCCCAGTGTACTCCGAGTCCATGGTACATCTTTGACGTAAAAAGCGGAAACGCCGTGCCAAAAAAGGACCTCATCATGGCAGTGGCTGCAAGCGCAGACGCCGCATAGATCACGTATGCGTCGATGATGTAATTGAGCAGGCTGACAAATTCCAGAACCATCCCGAACCCAAACAAAGAGGAAAGCGTGATGCTGGCCGACCAGTGAATGCTTGGAAAGGTTGTCCACGCAAAAGAAAACATGCCGATGGGGATGCACACGGCGCCAACTAAAGCTGGTGGCAGTCGTGCTTCGGGCGGTTGGTTGTCTCCCTTCTTCTTGTACCAGACATCGAAAGTCACCAGATATGTCATGCCTATGATCATTCCGACCATCATGCCAATAAATGAAAGCCCACCGATTCCCTCACCCCACCCCCTTTCTTCTTGATAGACAATGGGAAAAGCGCCAAGGAACATATATAGAGTTCCGTATAAGATGGAGAGATATACCGAAATAATGAAGATGATTGGTTCAACGAAAAGCAATTGCCAAGGTCGTTTCAAAGCATGAGCGAACACTTCTCGAGGGCTCTTCTTTCCACTGTCGGCCTGAATTCGGCTTTTATAGACATCGCCAGTTTCACGAGAGAGTCTGGCAGCTTCATTGGATAGGATAACCGGCGCATACGTCTCAGGCATCAAGAGGCACCCAACAATAAAGATAACAAATGTGAAGAGAGCACATACACCCTGGACCCATCTCCAGCCCACCGACTCACTGATGAAACCCCCAACGATCGGACCTAACGCTGGTCCGATGGATGGGGCACAAGAGAATAGAGCGAGTCCAGTACCTCGTTCCGATGAAGGGAATAGGTCTGCGATGATGCCCCCAGAGTTAGTCAATGGGGATGCCGCAAACACGCCGGTAATAAACCGGAATATTATCAAGGTAGTCATGCTGTTGGCACCCGCTGAGCCTGCCATGAATGCCATCGCACCTATGTGCGTGGCAATGAACCAGATACGCCTCCCATATAGTTCGCCCAGGGGTGCCCACATGCATGGCCCAACTGCGAAGCCCAAAACATAGACGGCGACACCAGTAGCGAATACCTCGGTGCTGGCGCCAAATTCTTCCCTCACCTCGACGGCTGAGCCGGTATAGGCGGCTGAGGCGAGGGTAACAGCTAACACAGATATCGTGGCAATGGCAGTATAAAGCCACCTTCTGGCTATGGAAAAATTGTGTGGATTTCTGGGATCATTGTGGTGAAATTCGACAATATAAGGATCATCTTCAGTCCCGCTGCCTCTGTATGGATTCTTTTCCGGAGCGTGGACGATGCTGTTCGGTGCCGGTTGCGCCTCGGCGATCGCGAGGGTATCCTCTGACAGCTCGGCTAGGTCGATCGGGGTCTGGGCATCGCTTGTCTTGGACATGATTGAGGATTCAGTAAGTGAGCAAGCAAAAAGTCTCAGTTGACTCACGCGGCATTCTCAATCTGGTACCTTGAGTTTATATTGCGAATTGATGACTGTCGTCGAGGTCAAGCTCCTCCATTTCTCGGAGCGGAACGGGAAGTTTCTCGGAATGACATCTGGTTGGCCATTTCTCACACTGGCAGGGGTATGGCTAACCAATCATGCTTCATTCCGACGGCTGGTCCGAATTTTTACACGATTTCGTCATCCTATGCTCAAAGTGACCCCATTAACAGGGATTTCCTTCCTCCTTGGTCCATCTGAGGATCTGATTTAACAACATCTGGATCTTTTAGATAAAGAAACAGCGTTAACATAGCAACAACGGGACCACGTATAATTGTCTTTTTTTATTTACCTCTTTACCTCGCAAGATAAAGCAGGTCTATTAGAAGGCTACATTCTCTCCTTCATCCTCAAATGGGAAGCGTGTATAACCCCTCTTTAGACGCCTTGATCTGCAAAGCCAGGAACTTGGAGTACATACGGCACAAGGCAAGATTGCCTCCCATATACCAGAAACCAGGGTGACCACTGTATCTCCAGATCTGGAACCTCAAATATTAGTCTCGGACTTCGTAGAGGGCCCAGAATGGATCACTTACCACGTTGACCTCTCCTTCATCATTCAAATCCCAAACATCCATTAGTCTGTTGGCGACCTTGTCTCCCAGAATCTTCCTGGCTGTTGTTCGCATGTTATCATATCCCGTGGCTAGCACTACCACATCCGCATCAAGTCTCTTCCCATCCGCGAGAACTAAACCAGCCTCATCAAACTCTCTGATGCCATCTACACTCTGGTGCACCTTGATCTTTCCGTCGATGATGAGTTTGGTGCACCCGACATCAATCGAATAGCCGCCGCCTTTGCACAGGTACAATCTCGTCACGCCGCTATTGTCCACTCCAAAGTTAAGAGCGAACCCCGCCCTCCGGAGGCCATCCAGTTCTTCCTTCTCCGCTTCGGCAATCCGTGCCGTCTGATGAACTTTTAGTGCAAACTGCACTGGCAAAGGTAGACTCTGATCATAGATGTCCGCGTCCTCGGTCGGTGGGCCCGTCTCGTCGTAGATTCCGCTGTGCTGCATGTGCACCCCCTTTTCTACGCCGATGACGTATGTTCCGCTGCGCTGCAGCATCGTCACATCTGCGCCATTCTCATAGAAGTTCTGAGAGATATCGTGGCCGCTGTTGCCGGAGCCTACGACAACAACCTTCTTCCCCTTGACGGACGGGTCGTGCGACGCATCTTGGTGCTGGCTGGTATGGTAGACTGTGCCGCGGAACTTATCCTGTCCATTGAACTTTGGCACCAAGGGCTCACCAGAGTGGCCGGTTGCCAAAATAATGTGATGTGGACATAGGATTATCACGGGGCCGTCACCTCTGATAATCCTGACCGTCCACGATTTGGTCTCGTCGCTGTACTCGGCGCTCTCAATTGTGGTGCTTGTCCAGACATTGAGTTCCATAATGCTGGCGTAAGCCTCGAACCAATCTCCGAGCTTGTCTTTTGGTGTGAACATTGGCCAGTTTGGAGGGAAGGGTAGATATGGCATATGGCAGTAGTTGACTGGATCGTGCGTTACCAGTGTCTACCTAGTGTCAGTGATATCCGTGACCCTAACTCTGGACTGCGTCTTACTCTGTAGCGGTTTCTCCAGTTGTCTCCAATGCGAGCATTGCGGTCTATGATGAGAGTCGGCACGTCGAGTCGCCCAAGCCGAGCGCCAATTTCCAGCCCGGCTTGTCCTATATTACACAGTAAGAACAAGAATTCCTCAAAGTAATGGAAGGAGATTAGCCACTCACCGGCTCCAATGACGAGGACAAATGGTTCCGCGTCATTGAATTCCTTTTCTCTTTCCCTCCTCTCTTGCCAGTTGCCTTGCATTGAGCCACCCTTGAGAGAATTGTTCCCTCCATGAGGCCGTCTCTCCTTGATGTTATCCTCGTGTCCCTTGAGCTCCTGTAAGGCTAGGTTCAGGGCAAAAATGACGTTCTTGCCGGCATCGTCAGTTACGAGACGCACCATGCCTGACCCCCTACCAATATCGGTCTCGAAGTCGATCATGGTCTCCGCCCATTCCACACCAGCCGTTGGCTCCGGCTCCTCTATACTTGGCGTGTATGCGCCACTCTTTCGCGGCCAGACATTGCGTAGGTGCAACCTCTTGGCGTTGTCGTTGATGTATTCGGCTATCTTGTCTATGCCATGAATGGTACGAAAATCCCATGAAAGCGTGAGGAGGTCGCGTAGCCATGCATCTTGACAGAAGAGTGACTTGAGGGCGTCTGTATCGCCGCTGTCCAGAGCACAATTCAGATTCTCAAATACATCATGGACGCGATCGAGGTTGATTTGGTTTCCTTTCTTCAACCCTGCTGCAGACACCCTAGGCAGCTTGATGGTGTGCTTGTCACTCGAGCCAATCGACATGGTAGGCGAGGTTCTAATCTTGTACGTAATAAGAGACCAGAGTATCCAAGTTAAGAGATAGTGGTTATGAAAAAGTGATAGATGGATTCACATCGAAATGGAAGATGCAGACACTAAATACCATGCAGATAACACCAGCTAAACTTCACCAACTCACTCCGCCAGGCGATGAGAGAATCCTACATCACCCGCCGGGCATCTAGGCCGTCGTATCAAGATCACGCGAATTCATGAACAGCCATTTTTGTCAGTACTATTGGGACTTCTCAGCAAAATGTCGACGAGTGAGCCCTTACCGAGCTAGCTCGACTGTGCTTCCAGAGCTTCACGCGTGACCACGGCGGCCCGCCCACAAGAGTCAACATGTGGGGATACTATCAGCATGGATGTAAGATGAAGAGGGGAACTGCGTAGAGTTGGGGAACACAAGTGGGGATTGCTCCATTCATCAGTCTTCCGCCAAAGGATGAGCGTCGGCCCGCCGTTTTCACTTGATGAATTCACGCTGCATCCACTAACACATGTGGTTAGGCCTCGAGCGATATCGGTTCCTTCTCACGACAATTATGCGAGTAGCGACCACTCAACCACGTGCGGACAGTATTGGCTCCTCTTGTGCTAGTCTACGTGGACGTCTGGGGACTATGCCCATGTCCATTGCTGCTTGTACTCTGGCTGTCAATCTTCATTCTGCTCACAGATAATGATGGCGCTTCTTAACATGGCTATTGGGAAATACTCATCTTAACTGTTGCGAAGTAGTCCCTTTACACTCTGGGATGTGGTTCTTCGCAAATGGCATGGACTCTGGACTTTAAGATCACAAGGGTAATGTTGTATTAGCCTTGAAAACTGGAATATGAAATGTGATTCAATGAAATCATTGTAAAAACATTGAAGCGCCCAGTCACTCGTAGGGCCTAAGATTTTGGCATAATCAATTCTAATGATTTTCAAAACATCGCTTGTCTATAGTTTACTAGGTCTACTCCAAACATCACTACTCTCTAGGAAATCATGAACCTCGTTGTCGCCCACGGCTGAGTTGCTCGTCACGATCCCAGCCTCTGGCGCCGAATCAGGCCCTGGATCGTTGAACGTACCGACTTCCCTTGTACGTCCACTTCCCACCTCGAGCAGCAGTCCCGCCCGCTTATTCTCGTCTTCCACGCAGCTTAGCATCGCCTCAGCTACCTCATCGGGTGTGACCCAGGCGTCTCGTGTCTCGTCCACGTTGGCCAGCTTCTCCGGGTGGTCCCACCACAGGGGCGTGCGGACAACCCCCGGCGCCACGGCGTTGACGCGGATGCCGTAGCGCTCTTCCAGCGGCGCGATGGAACGCACGAATCCCGCAATGGCGAACTTGGAAGCCCCGTACAGCGGTGCCCTGAAAACAGGGAGGTACGATGCTACAGAGGCAATATGGATAACGCGTTTTGGGTTCGAGGGGGAGACCTTGGCGGGACGCGGGAAGGGTGAAGACTGAGGCAGCTCACGAGGGTGCAGCCAGTTCGATATCGCTAGTTGTGTAGTCCGAAGGGGATGGGTGAGGTTGATATCGAGCAGGGCATAACGTCCAGAATCTGCGGCGTCACGGCTTTGCTTTGAACCGGGGGGACACCAAAAGTTGGACCAGTGAGGCTCGTAGACGCCAGCGCCAGGACAGACAATGTCGACGTCGCCGAATTCACGGTAAGCCACATCGAACATTGCCTCTAGGGCGGGCCATGATATCACGTCTGTCTTGACAAATATGGCACGGGCGGTTGGCGATGCTGAGGAGGAATTGGTCTGGCTGTACCGGGAGACGACTTCCTGGGCTTCCGGGCGCAGTGCGAGATCTGCCAAGACGACGTTACACTGCTTCAATAATAAAAGCTTTACGAAGCACAAGTTGATTCCTGTAATCGGTGTCAGTCTGATGCGCTCGTGTCTTTGAATTATTTGAGAGGAAGGGACTCACCTGATCCCGCACCAGTAACTATGGCCGTCTTACCGGCTACAAAGAAGGGCATTGTTGTCTAGGCTAGATCAATGAATGCTATAGAACATTCAATACGTTTCTTACACGTCGTAAGACTGCGAAATAAAAAGAGCATGTAGTATAATAAGGACGCCAGGCCAAGGCCAAGGAGCATCTCGTATCTCGCAGCTCGTCGTCAAAGGTCCAATCCTGGGGAATGGCTGGGGAGGCGGCCCGCCTCTTGCCACTTCCGCAACCGTTACCGGACGCCTGCTTTGTCCCAAACTTTTCCGCCATCCACCAAGGAGATGCCACTAAGAGTGGGTGAGGCCGAATCCTAGCGGAGACGTATTAATTGAGTCATCATAAGCCAGCGAGCAAGGTTGCCCATCTCACTAGTACATTATGGCATCAGGCTTATTTCTCATCATCATCAAAGAATGCCTGCATCTGGAGGTTGTTAGCCTCACTACGTCCACTAGGATCTCCAAAGAAAGCACGAAGAAGTCTGAAATGAAAGGTTGAAAGAAAGTACGTTGTCTCAAACTTGCGGTAGATTTAAAAAGTTAACTCGCTACAGTATTATGAGTGTGAACATTGTTCCTACACTCATCACAAGTATTGGACTATCTAAAATCTTCTACAGTTGAGGCTCGAGTGCCCAGCCTAAGTACTTCAAGTAGGCCCAGCCTTATATTAAGCAGGAAAACATAAAAAGAAGACGTGACACTCGACGTGAATTGAATAAGATGTGGTCTATATATCTATCCTAGCCGTCGAAATGCTGCTTCGTGGCAATCAGGCACGCAATTTCATATGCTGATTTGATACTCGTCTGCGGTTGAGCCCATGGTTCCAGGTGAGCGATCGTAACTTGATGTATGGTCCCAATATCCTCTGCCAGATGCTGGAGAGGCGATGATCGAGCCGCAATGGAAAGTAGTAACGAACTCGTCAAACAACTACATCCCATTTATTAGCAAAGTTAATTTCTTCATTATATAGAGTATTTACTCACGCCATGGCACAGCTGTATGTGTATGGTGTTCGCTCATAGATGAGATGGCGAGCCGTCATCAGATACATACGGCAGGCATGTAGGCACGTTCCGCACATGTCGAGGACGGCCTGCGGGACAACCTCACCATGCTCCCACGCCCGCGAGGTGACGTATATAAGGAACGCTCTGTATATGTTCTGCTTAGAGGACCAGTATCTGAGCCTCAGTAAGCACGCTTGCCTGTTACCTCTTGTGGCCCCCGTGAGTTCTGGCTTGACCTCTTCGGGCAATCCGTCATACCAAGCCTCCAGCTGCCTGCTTAGCTCGTCGCAAACGCGCATATGTGAAGTATCAGGATTCAAGACTGGGAGGTGCGAGGATAATGATGCCGCTTCTTTGGATCGACCAGTGAATATGGTTAGACTATCGGTGAAGAAGAGAGAATGGTGTATGCGGTTAAGCAGTGTGCGCACAGAGATCTCGGCGAGGGCGTATAGGTTCTCAGGAGACGCATTCTCGCCGTAGTTGGGGAATGGCATGCTGTCAACCAGCAACTCAATGCCGCTTCTCGGTTGATGGAACTCGGCCAGAATATCACTACTTGGAATTAGTGAATGTACCAACCAGACCATGAGAGACGAGGGGGTCTACCTTTCCATGTTGAAGCAGACCCAGCTGAGCCGCGTCAACGTTTGCACCTGTGGCTCGCTGGACAAGAGGTTCTTGTAGCTTTTGGAGACCATTAACATCCGTAGCTCTGGAAGTGGTAATTGGAAGAAGAAGAAAGGAGTTCTTACCGCGAAAGAAGCTGCTGTATACTGGTGGATGCCATGTGGACTAGTCGCCAGGCCATCAGAGGCTCGGCCGTATAGGTAAAGTAAACGGCACACAGGACTAAAGCCTGCGGAATAGTCACATCGCCGCTAAAGTTAAAGGTCCATGATGCGAGTAGTATTCTGAGGGCTCTTCGAAAATATGTTTCCCAGGGCCTGTCCTCTGCCTGGCTGTCGAGTGGTTCAAGGGCGATGGCGCCGAGGGCAATTATAGCCAATACCATAGCCGACTCTGGGTCAAAGTCGATCTGCCTCTCCATGACCTCCCCGTATATCCTGACTACTTCATCGCGGTGAAGGAAAGGGTGGAACGGATACACTCGAGCCAAGTAGCTGTCGAGATATTGATCGCAAATGGCCCTTTCGAGCCCGTCATGCTGCTGAGGGTCTTCGTGGCTCGGAGACATGAAGGATCTCGCTTCTGCTGCTCGGAACCTGCTGCTCTCGACACGAAAGAAGAATTCATCCGGATAGTCACCAACCAGAGCGCGGCATTGCGGCAGCACAAGCACGTTACTAGTGCTGGTTTGGTGTCCAAAAGGAATCGTGATTGGGGGACCAACATCATCGTTTCTGACGGTTGAATCGACTCTGCTTCCGTTGTGGTCAAAACCTAAGATAGAGAACGGCGATGAGCTGTCGGTGGCTGTGGGACAAAAACGCGATGTTGGTTGTTGGGCATGCACCGCTGTTGGATCATGAGGTGACACGCCAGGGGACTCAGAGGGAACCGCGGGCGGCGGTGGTTGTAATCTCAAGACCTGGAGCTCCTCGGCGTGCTCTCGCAGGAGGTGCTCAATGGCATCAAGACGGTCAGACGTACCGCCATCATCAACGTCAGATCCCCTGTCGAAATATTTAGCATGGATATACTTGACAATCGACTGAATCGATAGAGGTAACAAACCTTCGCAACACAGGCTCGTGGTAAGTGCATTCAAACCCCTTTAGGCGGCATGTTCTGCATTGCGGCGTCTCACCGTTACATCGTCGTTTACTGCCAAACCATCAGTCAATCAGCAGGGCTGCATCCGCCTGCGTCATATTCCCCCACAGGTAATAGTAGCGAGTGCAACGGAATGGTGCGGCTCACCGGCGTCTGCAATAGCTACATGCGATGGCGGCCCGTTTGGGAGGAGAAGTCATGGCATGTTCGTAGGCCAAGGGGCTGGTTGCACAGAATTGGCGATCAGAGCGGGCGGGCCGCCTGAGAGATTAATACTTTGGATCGAGACGAGGCGGGGGAGGCGGCGAATGTCTAGACCGACTTCAATCAGCCAATTACATACTTCTGGCGTTAAACCTGGAACCCCAGTAATGGACCTGGTCAAAGCTTCCCCGCTTCTAACACAGATTAAGTTAGAATCCCCCATAACCAATCCCCAGACGACGTGGAGAAAGGGACTGAGCCATTTAGACAGATCAAGGGCAGACAGGTCATTAGGCAGCTCGGAGTATGCGTTACGTACCACCCCAAACAAATGAGACCAGACTTGACAGAGATCATCTTATGTTAGTGCAGGTTCTAAGCAGTGACCGTACGACAGGGCTTACTGTCACCCAGAAGAGTCCATCACCAGAATCCCCCACGTGTTCTTAGTGTGCTCACTTCCCTGTTCTCTCGAGAAGTATGATGGATATTTCAAATATGATTTGGGTCTGGTAGCGGAATAAGCTTTGATATTCTTGATATGTGTTCATGCCATGGCATGAGATTTGTCCTCTGCACCTGCAACTACCCTACAGTCATGGCTTGGTTTGATATCTTATTGACTCGGACATTTGCGTGAAGACGGAAAAGGATTCTTCAGACACTTCGATACTATAGTTCGATACTGCATTGGTTTATTCCTGGTGAGATTTTGAGTATAAAGTGTGAGAAAAAAAATAGCAATAGAAGATGCTAGACCGGAAATATCAATACGGTTAATATTATTGAGTGTACTCTTGCGGTCGTTGTCTGTTATGGGTTGAACTTTTCGCATCCTGTCTTTAATATAAACGATTCTATATGTAAACTCTTGCAAACTCCACCAAAGCCATGATTGCCATAGCTTGGCCATAAGGCATACTGGTTATTGGGATGTCCTTGTAGAACTGCAGGCTGTGCTTCCCCATGGGGGTCCCAAACGACGTATTCTGCAACTCTCCTTGGGCATCAACATTATCAAGAATTGCTCTGACAGCCTTGAGAGCTACTTCGGAATATTCCTTGCCAACGTACTTCTTTCTCTGGGCCTTGAGCATTCCAAAAGCGAACCCGGCTGTTGCACTCGACTCAGGGTACGAGCCTTCCTCAACTGGATGGTCCAACAACGTCCTCCACAAACCCGATTCTAGCTGAAGATCCTTCAAAGATTGACACTGTGCATTAAGTGTATCGAGTAAATGTGAAGCAATGGGGTCGTCTGACGGAAGGTCCAGAATGTCTAAGAATTCGGGGATCGCCATTGTCAACCAGGCATTACCACGCCCCCAGAGCGCCCTTGCAAAGTTGTGACCTCCGTCGTTGAAGTCCCAACCGTGGAAGAATAGACCAGACTTTGTGTCAAACAAGTATTTGATGTGGATGAGGAATTGTTTCTTGGCTTCTTTGATGTAGTGCTCGCGCCCGAGCAACTTCCCGATCTTGGCCAGGGGGAGAACAGTCATCATGAGTGTGTCATCCCATAGTTGCTGATCATTCTCCTCAATGTAGGTGATGTGCTGCATGCCCCCAAACTTGGTTCTTTCCAAGTCATGATAGGCCCATTCGGCCCAACTGTCCAACCACGGCAGATATGTGCGGTTGCCTGTGGCTTCATAGACGTTTGCCAATGAGAGAAAGACGGCCATAGTGTTGATATTCTTGGTCGTTCCACCAGCGGCGAAACGAGCGGCAAACCAATCCTCAATGATCTTGAGGTATTTTGCATCCCCTGTGAGCTCATAGTAAGCCCAGATCCCGTTGAGACCGATACCATGCGTCCACTCCCAGTCATTCCAGCCCTTGGCATCAATCACACGCCCATCTTCCAGCTTGATCAAGAATTCTCCAGTTGTGTCTTTAATATTGACCATTCCATCGATCAGACGCTGGATCTTCTCATGAACCTCGGCGGCTTTGATCCCATGTAGTTCCAGCGGCATTTTGGCGAATGTCTTGGAGTTGTTAAGGATATGATGTTCTTCAGGAAGTATGATGTAGAGGAGTAATCAGGCTTCTCTTAGAAACATAGTAAGAGACGGTATTATGAAATTTGATAGGATAAACAATTGAGAATGGCTGGGGTCTTCTGCTCTCGCTTAAGAATAAGTAATATTTCGCTGGTACGATCCACCTCTGATAGTTGCCCAGGTCCCCCGCAGAATGCAGCACGTAGAGACTTCCGTTCTCACCCTAGTGTGTATCCATCTAGGCATCTTTTCGAGTAACAGGCAGGTTATCACGGGCGGGCGGAGCGGGCGGACCGCCGCCCTCAGCTCAAATTGGTTGGATTATTTCCGTCACGACGTCTAGGTAAATCCGGGACTAGCCTTGTTTGTTTTCGGTTTGTCGGCTTTGGCCCGAGTCATGCAGTCGCAAGGATCACAACTGGAGCAGTAAACTAATTGCCTCATTCATCATCGGCCAACCTGTCACGAGGAGTATTGCAATGGTGTTTGCGAGGGGCCGGCGGCGACGAGTGCCGCCGGGGTAAGTTGCAGCCTCTCTCATGCTTCTCCGCTGGGCAGAACGTGGAGGAGTGTGGAGTGTGGAGTTCTTGATCTTTTCCCCAGACGCTACCCCAGTCGTGATTCACGTTTCGTGGTTGCTTTTTGGAATGTCTAGCTACATAATGTAGGCAACACATATATACTTCCATGTCGCCCCTTCTCACCTCTGTCTTCATCCTTAATACAACGCTGAGAGTTACTGACCAACTCCCTCCTTTCTTATACTACCTGACCACAGACTACTCTGTCACTCCAAGTGCATGATGGCGCCTCGTTCCATCTCCGAGGTCGAGGCAGTGCATCAAGAGGATGCAAAGGCCACCACCGTCAACCGCTCGCAGAATGATAATCTCACTAAGAACAACGCTGAAGAGATTGAACGACCATTCTCTCCTGCCAACGATATGGACAAGGGCGTCAGCAAAGCCAACTACGACAAGATCGACAGAGAGGTTGCCAAGTATGCGAGCCACACTCGCGTTGAGATATCTCCCGAGGAGAATAACCGTCTGCGGCGCATGATTGATAAGCGCGTACTGTCAATCATGATTGCCACATACTTCCTGCAGTCGCTTGATAAGGGAACGCTCAGCTTCGCCTCAATCATGGGTCTACCCCAGGACACTGGCATGGTGCAAGCCAATGGGAACATCTCCCAACAATACTCGTGGCTAACGAGTTGTATCTACTTGGTAGTTTTGGTGGTGGAGTACCCGCAGGTAAGACCTTGAACTTCAGCCTTTCTCCTTACCTGCCCGTGGAAATAAAGCACAGACTAACCGAGGTATCCTCTTGATCAGAACTACATTATTGCCCGTGTTCCAATTGCCAAATATCTCGGATTCTCCATCATCGCCTGGGGCTCAGTCCTCTGCTGTCACGCCGCGTGTACCAGCTTTTCCGGGCTTCTAGTAGTGAGGTGTCTGCTCGGTTTGTTTGAATCCGTCTGCCAACCAGCTTTCGTCGTCCTCTCATCGACGTGGTTCCGCCGCGAGGAGCAGGCCGCCCGAGTCACATACTGGTACATGATGAACGGCGCACAGCAGATGGTGGGGGGCGTACTGGCATACTGCTTCTCTCTCATCCACTCTGGCCCGCTCAAGTCGTGGCAGTGGCTCTTCCTTTCCTACGGTGTCATCTCCGTCTTCTTTGGCGTATTTGTTCTGCTTTGGATGCCCGACTCGCCCATGCGCGCCAAGTGTTTCAGCGAGGAGGACAAGCGCCTTATGGTTGAGCGTGTGCGTGACAACCAGACCGGCGTCCAGAACCGGACATTCAAGAAGGAGCATGTGTATGAGGCACTCAGAGATCCACAGATGTGGTGCTATGGCTTGATCCAGTTCTGCACCGTTCTGCCCACCAGCGGACTGAGCACCTTTGCCAACATCATTATCAAGGAAAGTTTGGGTTTCGACGTACTACAGACCCAGCTTCTCTCAATGGTACTTGGCGCGTACATCATCATTCTTCTCTTGGTCTCTGTATGGATGGTCAACAAATGGAACCAAAATATTCTAACCTGTCTCGGGTTCGTTGTATTGTATGTTCTGATCTCGTTCCCCCTACTTATCCTTCAATTCAAGAATCCCGTACTAACAAGTGATTCATTTACAAACTCCTTTGTCGGAACAATCCTCCTGATGACGGTGCCCAATGTGACCTTCTCACAGCACGTCGGACTTTTGATCAGCTACTATATCACCATGTCATTCTGGACCGCCCAGACACTGGGACTTTCCATGATGTCTCGGAACGTGGGCGGACAGACAAAAAAGACCATCGTTGTCGCAGCCAACTTCATCTTCTGGAGCGCTGGCAATGCCATCGGGCCCCAAGTCTTTCTTGCCAGGGAGTCACCCAAGTACTACACAGCGTTTGCGACGCACTTGGGCTGCTACAGCCTTCTTGTCATTGTCCTTGTCTTCTTCCGCTGGCACCTTGTCCGTGAGAATAAGAAACGAGATGCCATGGCCGCTGCGGGTGTCCAGGAAGCTAACGATGGCAACATGACGCATGCTTTTGAGGACCTGACAGATCGCGAGAATCCAAACTTCCGCTATGTATATTAGATCCAGAAGGAAAGAAGGCTCCCGTAATACTGGAGCCATGCTGTATCTTTTATTATAGAAATTCTATATTTTTATAGGTGATTCACCCATGGTCGTCACCACAATCTCGTTTGTCTGATACGTGATGGCGTCGGAAGAGACCTTGGGTATATTTCACGTCTGGAAAGTGGTGTCCAGCAAGCTCTTTAAAACGAGAGCGCCGCTCACTCACCTCTTATAGCCGATGTAAACCTAAATAGTACTAGTGAAGAGACAACTGAGATCAAATCATGGCGCTTTTGGTCTTGATCTTCAGATCCCGTGGGGGAGTAGCAATCATTTGCTGAGCTCAATGACTCAGCAAATGAGAACCCGAGAAGGGCACCAGATAAATACGGCCCTGAGAGGGAGTTTGTTAATTTAGGTAAGTACCGAAATGTATGACGTTTATCATGGGTTTGAAAAAGTCATCGTCGATATCTTTGGATAGATGAAAGGTGTCGTGGGACACAAGGACCACTAAATAATTACTTCACTCCATCACATATACCGCCTCTGATATAATTAGGCATCGATGAGCGTTATTGAGGTATAAGCGGTTTTATTTTTGGTGAGGATGTTTCGTAGAATACTAGCAAACATGATATCATGACTTGCGTGAGCTTCGATGAGCCTTTCCTTCTTCACACAGATAGTTTCAATAACTAGCGCACAGGCACATCAGCCATTTTCCGTGAACCGCAAGCAGAAATCAAGAAAAAATTGAATCGAAATATGCAAAGATCAATGCCCTAGATTGAGATTATGGATGCAAACTAGAAGGTGATTACCAATGATAGAATCCGCATTGAGCACGAGGCTATGGATATGAGGCCGTCTATATGATGATTGCATCAGATGGACTAAATTGCGATGGAGGGGAAATGGTTATCCCCTCACATGTCCAGATCAACATATCATATAGCTAAACCTCCTTCGAAAGATGTAAGGTTTTTGCTCAAACCGTAGATGGAACAATGCTACACAATCAGCCTAGGCAAACCTTATAACTGGCTTCAAAGAAGTCTGCAACGATAGATCGATGACGATTTTATTGGGAAAGGCTTCTGTGTCTAGATTCTCGAGGAGTCATACGTCAAATCACATGTCCGACACCTTATACTGCCCGCGCGATAGATCATAGTGATGACTTTACTTCTGCTCCGCCTGGAGACGACAAAAACGATGGGGTTAGGGTAACTGATCCGTGCTCCTCAATTGAGATATGGTATTTTGTTTGATATAATCACTCAGGATCTTGCGAGACAATTTAGTGTCTTGCTAACCTCCTTATTTTGCAACTTCTGAGAGCACTAACTTACTCAAATGTATGGATCTGGTGATCACCGATGCGAATAATAAATAAACCCACCACTCTTCTTAACCAGGTTCATCTCAACTGTATCTTTGCCACGAGGTCTCCAGGAGTGGAGGCATCTGTCACGTCAATAAAGGCTCCAATTTCGTTTGACCATTCTTGGATGGAAAAGAGTGATTCAAAACTACAGTTTTGTTTCAATGGCAGCTAGAATAAAATGCCGGGATATTCCTTCCAATAGTTCGATGTGTCATGTTTGGAAAGTAAGTCGCCTTAACTTTTGCCCCTATCATGTTTCGGAGCTTTTGCATCTGACGCTCTTTGTGCCTAGTGGCACCTGTTCTTTCTTGGCTGATCTGAGGAGTGGGGGTTTGTAGCCTCATTTAGATGAAATCTAGGCGTGCAAACCTGTCCCTGTCCGGGCAATTCGCTAATGGATTGTGAGTGGCCTAGCGTGGCGTTTGCCTCTAATTTCAGCCGTAGACTTGTCTCTTCGAACCGACAATTACTCCGAAGCTAGCAGCTTCGACTATGAGTAATCGATTGGTGCTGGCCCACAAGATGCCGTTGGCTCTTTGTGGAATTGACGGGTGCGTACATCATTGATCCTGACAAGTTGCAGCCGTGGCTGAACTCGGCTTTTCCTGTCGAAAGTTCCTCCGGCTCAAGTCGGCCAAAAACTGCAAACGTCTTTACACTTTTCCTAAAACAGTGTGTAAGACAGTCTCTAAGGTAATGAGTGAATTCGTCATCAGTCGTCGTCAGCATGGTAGTGGGAGATCGAAACAACCATGGCTTGTCTAAAATTTCACGTTCACCGAGGGCCTCCCGCACCAGCGAGAAAACTAGCTCTCTACCAAACTTCGTTTGTCTTCGAATGAGTATAAAATACAAGCTTCATCCAGTCCTCGAACATCATTCTGAATCCTATCAACATAAAAATCAACAACTACAATCAACAACGAAAGCACTAGCACAAACTTATATTTCAAAACTCTCGCACTTACGAAAATGAAGTTCCTCGCCGGCATCCTCTTCTTCGCTGCTGTCTCCATGGCCACTGCAGGACCTGCTCCAGGTGATGACGATTACGGAACCAATGGCCAATGCCAGTCTGTCGGAAGACGCTGTAACTACAGCATTTATCCAGCGCTCGCTTGTTGTCCCCAGCTTAAGTGCTACACTCCTCCAGGATCCCCTCCTGGTGCCTATGGTTACGTAGGTCAAGACCTGAACTTATCCCTATGCCTCCCAGAGATTATTCTAGTACTAACACCACTTATCAAAGTGCCGCAAGGACTAAAATATACGCGAACTGACTGGCATTTTGAACCCAAGGAGGGAGAATGGACTATACCACAAGAGATTCGTTGAAGGCCATCATCATGAAACCTAGGATTTCATGCAAGGGCCCATTAACACATGTTTTTCTTCCAGTTTAGTTGACAAGAATTGGTTCCCAGTTCAGTTTACCAATGTTGAGGCTTCGTTCGTTTGTTCAAGTGTCTTGTAATTTTGATTTCTAGTGATCAATGTAACGTTATATTAATAATACTACATTGACAAGAACAAGACGATCAACAATTGAAGACAGGTCTTGGCTCACATCGCAATTAAAAAGACAAACAGTAATACTTGGCCTGGGGACGGCAATCGATTGGAATTGTACCCGCATAAACGACAAACTCTATAAGTGTTTATAGCGGCAGCAGAAATGCAGAACCAAGGCTACTAATTTTTATGCTCATCTCGAGCTAAGGTAGTGATGTAATCCAGGTGTAACGATCAATCATCATTATTAATTGTCCAACCCCATCAAGCCTTACAAGTAACTAACCCTTGATTCAGCTAGCTTGACCAGAATCTAACCTTCGTTTCAAGAGCTTTTAATAACATCATATACCTCTATTAGGAGTATCATGCAGCGGACGGGCGTCGTGCATATGGCATTGGCGAGGATCGAGTAGTTCATGGCGCTGGGTACATCTATGCTAAAGAGCTTTTGGCGGATCTGGGCGGGATCTATCTTCCTACTACGATTGAGTCTCAAAATGAACAGCATGCCGACGCTACAAAGTAGATGAGATTAAATGAGTCGTAGAAGAGAGTAGGCTACTTCACTGGCATATTATATCTACTTGTGAATGTACGTTTTACCTACGTAGGCTAAACCTCTTATAGAATCAGCAGATGCTCTGCTTGTAAATATGACCCCCCCGGTAAAATCGTAGCTACTTCAGATCATGCAGTAAGTTCTTGCTGCAACGAAGCAATTGGACAGATCGTTCTTGCAAACTCATCACTTGCCTTTATTGCTCATAAAGCTTGGGCGGAGATATCTGAAATAGCCGACGTGACCCAACCAGATAGTCAGCCCGTTGTAAAGACTTTCTCCGAGAGGTGCGTTCTGGCGCCTTTGAATGCGTGGCCACTCATATCAGACTAACGAACATTTCCTCATACTAGTCAAATTCATGCCGAGTTGTTAGACTCTTGACCAAGCAGCCCCAAGTTTGTATGTCAAAATAGCAAGTTATGTCGTGTGCCTATTCCTTGTTTGTCCACTACCATATCACAGGTGCTAGCTGCGAGCAGATTGACATAGCCGCTTGCACAACTCGATGAATCCACGTCTCAACACTCCAAATACTGTGGACAATTCGACTGCTCGCATGACTGGCTTATCTCCAGTTCTCTCTGCAACGTCCCTGTCTTTATGCAATATTTGCACGAAAATAGGTAGGGAGGCACTCCAATGCCTCCAACGGGGCGTGATCCCCAAGGCAAGATCTTAGGCATCCTAGACATAAGTGGCATTGGGTGTCAAATAGCGTGCAAATCTCGTACATTTCAAATGCTTGTATGATACGATAACCAGTCTAAACTGACCCTGGAGCTGGAGGAATAGGCCAAACACGTCTCATTTGACGTTTTGATAGAAAAGAGGGATATTCTTAGTTCCAATATGCGTTTGACGGTGAGCATAAACGCCATGCTTACCTTTCCTACGACTCATTTTCATTTCTGCTCAAGGCTAAAATGTATCACTTAACATCTCACCCTAAGCTTAGGCGCATGCATATGAGCGTCATTGTCAATACCACACAGGGCGCAATCATAGATGAAGAAGGTCTTGTTGCCGCTCTGGAATCGGGTAAAATTTGTGGCGCTGGCCCGATGTGTTTGAGAATGAGCCAGAAATAAACACTGGCCTTCTTTCTAGTCCTAACATTCTTCGTATGCCACAAATGGGTACACTTACCGTCGAAACAGGAGCTACCATGGAGGACGCACTTATCGCTAACGTAAAAGCATCTCTTGGAGGAAACAGAGACCCTAATCTTGTACGTGATCAGAGGCCAGTCATGGGCCGTGGTCGAATTATGGGCCAGGCTTGAAGCGGCAAAAGAGCTGAAGCCCATAAGCGCCCATCTTCTGTTGTGTTTGATGTGATTGGTTCTCGTTATGGAAAGCCTTGGTAATTTAGGCAGACTTGTAGGCTCTTTCAGCTGCGGCTGACTCCTCTACCACCAAGCAATTCGGCATGAGATTTGTAAGATCACAAATTCTCACACAAAAAAGCCGCATTAGCTATCTAGATATAAGCGTCGTACGCCATTGCTACCGTCCTAGTTCGAAGCGTCGACTAGACCTTACTACACTCATCGTCCCATGTCACCAGTGGCTCCGCCAGCCCAGGCGGTCATCCGCCGCGGTACAGTATCCGGGGCAGGAAATGAGGAGACGGATTCGACTCGGCGCTTGAACCAACAAAGGGCGCTCGACTTTCAGTGGTTGTTGCAGGCACTCAATTCCCTGCCCGTTACGATATCTCAGCCTACCAACCCTAGCCTATTGCCTCAATTCCGCTCTCAATGGAACCTGCCACCGCCTAGGAACAGTGCCCGCGTCGTCGAATTGCCCAGTACTACTCCTCCGCCTGTTTCTCCACCGAAAGCTACTGAATCAAGGTTTGCACGACTACACTCGGACGACTCTTCTTCCTCCTCGGGAAGCATATATATCCCCCCGGCGATAGCTTCGCCGCCTCGGGGCAAGAGTCAAGAGGAACTAGACCGCGACGCATATGATCATTTCATTGATGATGTCAAGCGGCTCCTTGATCCCTTAATGAGTGAGGAAGAGGGGTTGGCCGATGAAGACTGGACAATTTACGATGAGGGGTCTGTTTTCCTCTGCTGGGGTAGCGCCACGAATTGCCGAGTCCTCAGTGTCAAGCATTTTCAACGACATATGGACCACGAGCTATTCTGGAAAAAGCTTCATCACGCTTGGTATCAGGCACGTGGCGAATGGCGACGCAAGATTCCTTGGTACGGCATCCGCGACGTTAAAATGGTTGACATCCGGCTTGCAGGGCCGGTTCCTGATTGTGCGGACCAATTCCACGGCGTCTTTCAGTTGATCGATAGCGAAATCCAGAGGGAAAAGGATAAATTAAAGCAGAAAATCAAAAAGTTTCAAGACATCGAAGCCAAGGCTGCCAGGGAACGCTTGAAGAACGACTTTGACGATGATAGGGATGAGTACGACTTTTACGACTACGACTACGATGACTGGGGCAAGTGTGCCTATGACGCGAAGCTTGGTCGGACTCTTCATGGTGAGGAATGCATCGCTGAGCTATCGCAGTACCAAGAAGATTGTACGGATGGGGACTATCCCGAGTCGGAGAACAGGCTCAATGGGCTCATGATGGAGTCTCTGCGCACGTCACTGTTCCAGAATCCACAAATGGCCGTCTTCCATAAGCTGTCAAACTCAGAGATTGTCCATTACAAGAGGTACGTTAATTAGATTAACTTCTTTCCTCCTTTGTTACGCGAGAACAACTTGAGGCCCACCTAGGACTCTAATTCGAGCTTCTCAACACAGCATGGTCCGTCGTCAAGTTCAGGGTAATCCTTATCGAGGCCTAGGCCAGATGGTCTTCCGCGGGCTCCTGATAGAGGACGGGTGGGCGTTTGACGGAGGCATGGGGGTTCTGTGCATGCCTCTAGCAGGGGTGGCAGCACTCCTGATCGTGTTCCTTGCGTGGCTCGCGTATAGGGACTGGGCCATAGCATGGAACGTCGGCTCGTGCTTGGTGCCGTTGCTAATAGGACTAGCGAGTGCGCTGCCACAAGCCAAGGCTCCAAGAGCATAGAGAGGGAAATCGAGAGAGAGATTGCCAACAAAGCTAAGTAGTGCTAAGATACCGCTTCCAGACCAATTGCGTTGATCACCACATCTCTCTTGGAAACACCGTGATTAAATGATACCGCTCGATGGCTTAACCCCTCCTGATCACTAATGATTTTGAGCTTGAATAACTGAGATTCATGTAGAGATAGGATTGCTAATCGACCACAACTCATAAACTAATCATTGGTTGCGCCCTCCAGATGCAGTGATGCTGGCGTTCAGCCGACATTTTGGTTGGAATATGGATCTCATCTTTTTCTTGTGGTTTATTCGTGTGAGGTCTGCAAGGTCATTGCCTTGATCCCACACGGCTAATTTCCAACAATCGGCGGTTTCGCGGGCAATGGTGAGTAGGAACACTTGGCATGTTAGATGGACATGAGCGTAATGCTAATCATCCCAAGCCCACTGTGGGTTATTAGATGCTCGCTCGCATCCGCCATCTCCACGGGACAGTATCGGACGACCGCACTCCGTGCTTAAGTTGGGACGTTCCGGATTCTAAGGCTGCCAACAAGAGTCGTCTTGAGCGTCATCAAATACTACTTGTCAGAACATGCTAGTGCAACATACGGTAAGACGACACTCGCGATACCACAGAAAGATGACCCCGGGAATCATCATGTGTCACAGATTTTCGATGAAGTTGTCTGGTTTATGCGAACCCATGGGATCAGCGTTGCCAAGCCGGCACATCTGGCCTTGAGCAATATCTCAGCGCCAGTGCGCACCTACGTGGCGCTTCTTTTCAAAGCCTCATAAGCCAGAAGACCCTAGACTCGACGGTAACAACGTCTCATCAATTCGGGCCTTGGTTCCGAGTCGGATGCAAGCGGTCCGGGATATAATTCCATCTCCGTATTTACCATTGGCCACACACCGCAAATCACACTGCCGATCAACTGGGTGTATATTAGCCGCGACACTTGACTACAACCTCAATGTGATAGAGCCAGTCATGGTACCCCCTTTGAAACTCGTGACCCAAGGAGGTATCGGAGGCTTTCACAGAGTCCAATTTCACGCACAGGTTTCACCCACAGTATTAAGTCGACAAGGAACTCGAGAGGATAGCGGTGTTGTTGGCGGACTATAAAGCAATAGGTTTCCCTTCGGTGTCAGCAACCAGTCTTCTCTTATTTTAGCAACCCATATCGTTTCGTGTTCATACATTTCCCGAATTATTTTACTCCGATCGCCATCATGTTGTTGTCTTCCGCTCTTGCTGCTCTGGGCCTCCTCGCCACCGAAGTGGCTGCTCACGGTGCTGTTACCAGTTATGTCATTGCTGGTACAACTTACAAAGGGTGGGCGGCCTTGCAATTGATTTCCCAATCCAAAATAAAGTCTCATACCTCGACTAATGCCCATTTACTAATGAATTTCGTGACTCAGCTACAACGGCTTTGCTCCCAGCTCCGAACCCGTGATCCAACGCCAGTGGCCCGACTACAACCCAACCTTATCTGCTACTGACTCCAAAATCCGTTGTAACGGTGGCACTTCTGCCCAGCTTTCGGCGCCCGTCAAACCCGGAGATAGCGTCCAGGCCATATGGGCCCAGTGGACGCACTCTCAGGGACCCGTCATGGTCTGGATGTACAAGTGTGCCGGAGACTTTTCGTCTTGCGACGGCAGCGGCGCCGGCTGGTTCAAGATTGACGAGTCTGGCTTCTCGGGCGATGGTAAGAACGTCTTTCTGGACACGGAGACACCCAGTGGCTGGGGCATCGCCAAACTCGTGGGAGGCAACAAGGGCTGGACGAGCACCATTCCGAACCTTACACCCGGCAACTATCTCATCCGCCACGAGTTGATCGCTCTACACCAAGCCAAAACGCCACAGTGGTATGCTGAGTGTGCCCAGCTCGTTGTTTCGGGCTCTGGCACAGGATCGCCGAGTTCTGCGCAAAAGGCATCGATTCCCGGATACGCGCAGCAGAGCGACCCCAACATCAGCGTAAGTCTATGCAATAAACATGTTGACTGGGCCGAGTTACTAATTCTTTCGATTGCTAGTTCAATATCAACGACCACACTCTCCCTCAAACATACACCATTCCCGGCCCCGCGGTCTTCAAGGGTTAAATGCTGGGTGATTGTCTTGTAAGTTGAAATGCGTTACGGCTATAGTAACGGATATTTGGTGTATCGTAGGGAGTTGAGAGGTATTGCAGGGTCGTATATCATGAATTGGATTCTCTTTTCAGATAGACTGCATGTCTAACATACCTGATACTAAAGTCCCTAAGATACACGTGCTCTTATGTGATAGCAGTATCCATGTACTAGCCAAGTCACAAACTTGCGCCGATAATTTCTAATTATATTTAAATTACAATATGTTTGTGGCTCAAAGAGTAGCTAGAATCAATTCATTCCCATTTCTTAACAATAAATAATTCCAGACACTGTGAGTGCTTCTTGGAGGAGATATGAGACGGACCTATTTTTAGGCAAATGGGTACTCATGCGAAATACAAACTGCAGGGGTCAATTGTACCCGTCGTGCCCGAAGCTAACAGGCCATTCCCGACATGCAGATAAGACTCCTCTTTTCGCAATCCGCAGGTCTCAGTTACGGTGATCCTTTTGGTCTTGGCACTGCAACCTCACCGCAATGAATGGCACATTAGAATAAAAATTATTACGATAATTGACGTTGACTGATCAACTTTCTATATTTTTGGGCAGTAAAAAAATGTAGATCGTCTAAGCCTCTTAAGAGACGTCTCTAGGATTCGCATCGCCGGCCACCAAATTTTGCTGACTGCTGTTCCTGGGCGGATTTTGCGTCTTGATACCCTCAGTCTGTTCAACGCGCGTACCCCCTCGATCTTTGCCAGCCTCGAGATCTGCGGGGGGCTCTCGGAAGGTAGTTCTGCGGTTGGTGAGGGAAATCCATGATGAATGGTCCGACCGTTGGTTGGAAGACTTTCTGGCCGATCCAGACGAGGCTCCCGACCCGAAGTCCAAGCGCGGGACATACTGGGCGAATAATGGCTTTAGTGTAGCGACTGAGCTGCAAATTATGGCGAGGTTGACTTCGAGGCTGGACCAAGTGCTAATCGGGACGGCCAATACTGTATACTGTCTTAGTATAAATTTTTGCATAAATTGGAGATAGCATTGATGAGGAAAAGCTCTTACCTGGAGCGTTCTCTCTTGGCCCTTCAAAGAAATGCACAAGGGCATGAAATCGAACGATGGATACAATAGAAGCACTATCACATCGTGAGCATTAGGTTATGTCTCTAGCTAAAATGATGGAAAGGACAACATACAGTAAACCACAGGTTAGAGTCATAATGAGAATGACTCGGACTCTGAGTGGCATGTTGAGCTTGAGAAGTATCGGGATTGGAAATATAAGGATCACGAAATCATTAATGGCGTTGAGGGTTGCGAGAACACTGAATGGCATTGTCAGCTCATCACTTATTCATTTCATATCAGGGCCTGAAATGCAGGAAATCTCGACTCACTAGTGAAGTTCGCCGCCTTGCATGCAATGTCCCTCGAGAGATGGATTCCAGAACTTTTGGACAGGAATACAGCTAAAAATGGGTGCGATACAATTCACCACACCATAAATGCAAAGCCACGCAATGAGCCATTTCAGAATCTTCCTCGGTTTTTGTGTGGTAAAAACTCGCCAGTACAGCGCGACGATCGACAGCTTGATTACCCATTGATTCCAGGTGTAAATCAAGGTGGTGAAGAATTCCGATTTTACGAAAGACAGGTATTCTTCCTGTTTGACTCTGTATCCCAATCCCAGCTCCATCTCTGAAGAGAGAATGTTAGCCGTGGCAAGTGATGTAAGGGGAAAGATATCAAGGCTGTACCATGAACGATAGTCCCAATATAAGCGATTGACATAGCCTATGGTAATTATTAGTATATGCGCAGACCACTAGACGAATTCCAAAGAGAAGACAATACCATTGATACCAGCATCAGGTAGTCATCGATACCGAATATCCGCGTGAGGAAGAGCCGGGTATAGACTCTCATCAACACCACGGCGAAAGCTAGGCATGTAAAGAAGAAGATGGCCACGAACCAGGGCCGGTTCTCGGGAATGACTGGCACTCCAGCAAAGTACCACATCCTGACTGTTTAGTTCAGAGATTTTGAAGCAGGTCCAGGGGCCCCCGTGGCCTTTATTCACGCTAAAAACTAGATGCCGGGAAGATTGCAAGAGGGAGGAAAAACCCATCGGCTATGTGCTCATATTGGATATTTCACCAGGATTGGGGAGCTGAGAGGGGGGGCGGCATCCGAGTCGTAGGATCATGAAGTGTGGCGGCCAAAGCAGGGTGCCGCTCGATATCCCCACCACCCGTCTTTCGAGGCTGAGGTTGCATCAGCTGCTGCGTTGCATTGGGCCGATTGGCTAGGAATTTCCCTCATTTCCCAGCCGATGAGACACTTGTACGCAGGGCAAATCCTGCTACCTTTGCACGCTGTTTTCTATTTTTAACATGGGCAGCGCCGGTCTGCACCCAATTGGAAACGGCCATTGTCTCGATCCATCCCAGCGTTCCGCATGGAACAGAAGCTAGATTTGCAGATCTTGGGCGATTGAGACTAATTGCACCAAGCCTTGGAATAAATGCCACCTTCTGCTTCGAGCAAGCTGAGCAAGCTGGAATGTGTAGATCAGCAGTCCGGATCAGGTATCGATTGTCTCAAATGTCGGGATCTGCCGTTGCAAAGCATAAATGGATGTGGACTCGTTGCATCCGCGGCCCATTTCAGCGGACCCGATTGCATGATTATAAGCAAAGTGGTGTCGTGGTAGTGCATCTAGGCGCTGACCAGCGGCGTATATGCGTGTCTGTCTCTTTAAGCCCCCAATGCTACAGCACACCCATTTCACGTCATCGGCAATTGAGAAATTCTTTTTAGGCATAGTGTCTGCTTTCGCGCCTAGCCGCAGCACCAGGAGAGACATGC